TGTAGGTATGTCTCAGATGTAGAATGTATGATGGAAGGTATTCCATCATTGTTCGTCATTGCTTGTAATGTAGTTTATATCATCTGAGACATACTCTTGTGTAGTCTCATCTTAACACATTGGAACGAAAATGTTCAGTGACACTGTTTCTGAACCTTGCATTGTTGGCATACACTTGAACTGTATGCTTGAGCTCTCATCACTGTGAGTGTGCCACAACTCAAAACACTCTCTACAGTAACAAAATACATTGATTTTTCTTGAGCATACACTTTGTGAAATGGTCAGATGTCCTTCACTGCATAATCTATGTCTACTCTGCTCTACACTGTGTCTGCTGTCTAACTCTCATATGGCTGCATATATGACTAGCTTGATAAATGCCAGAGGCTGGCCTTTGCTTCCAAAACAGATTTGTATGCAACAGACTCTTCCAGTTCTAATTATCAAGGACACCTCTGAATGCTTGAACGTCTGTTTCTTCAGAGAGATTTCTTGTTGCTCCCCCATATAGTCTCATTACCTTGCACCAGCCAATATATCTTGTTATCTTGTGCTGCTTCTATGTCTGTCTCTTCAGGGCAATATCCTTATTGCTACATCTTGAAACTGTCCTTGTTTTGACATCTCACTATCCTGTGCTTCTCTGTCGACTCTGACTCAAGTCTACTGCTTGATTTATCAATGCTCCCAATACTTTGCAGCCTATCACTGGACATGAACAGTCTTGTGTTTTGGTAAGTCATTATATTTTTTACTTATCCACTTGAACAACTTACTATGCTACCAATCAGCTTCTTTCTTTGTCAATTGAGCTCTGTATTGTCTCAATTGCATGCTTGAGCCATTCAGCTGCCTCCCTCAATTACCTGGGACTCACCAGAGACGTACAAGACAAAGAGCAAAATACGTGCATACTGTAAGGCTAGGGCTGAAGAAATTCTGGGAGAGCTTAAGAAAGCACTCCCAGGTCACTATAGCTGTATTAACTCAGTAAAGATAATGTAAGAACTTTCAACCTTTACTTCTTATTACTAGTTTTATTAACTTTGTTTTATTGTTTAGTGGCAGTATTCATCAGTCAGATAATGACCCTAACCTGCACCTCTTAATAAGGTGCTTTGGAAAGAATAAAATGGTGGGATTGATACATTTACCATTTAAAAACAATGTACGTATTTTTCTTCTTTTTCTTATTGTCCTTGCTAATATTATCTTACCAAACACTTAGAAGTTTGTTTTTGAAGGGGCAACAATTGGTTACAAGGCAGCCAAACACTGTAAAATTAAAAAGATTTTGTAATTTGACTTGAATTTGCTTGAATTTGCTTTGTACTTGCTTTACATGCATTACATTCTAGTATTACACATTTACAAATCTTGTAACATTACAAAGAGAGTTCTTAGTAAGTGTTATAGTTACTATTACACTTTCTAATTATCAATACTAAAGCTGACAACTCTCAAGTCTTCCATTCCTTATAATTTAAAATAGACAAGTTTTTCTAAAGTACAAGTATATATTAACCTAGATAATACACAGAAATTATAGTATCATTCTATAGTAATTATGATTTCAGATATAATAAGAACTCCATACATTATATAACATTAAAATGATATAAATTAAAGCATAAGAACTATTGTATAATAAAATGTTAAAATATAATAAGAGCATTATACATATTATAACTGTGTGTGATCTTGGGCAAGGCCCTATTAACCCCTTCTTGCTGCCAAATTCCTGACCTGCACCTCTGAGCAAGAAAGAAAAGTTAGGTCTGCATACTCCTTGCCAAAGAAGGTAGGGATGACAGAGGAGCAGGTCAAATATGTGAGAGACTTGAGTACTGTACTAGTAAGTACTAAAGAACTTAATGCCAAAGGTCCTTACTCTAGCCTCTCAAACACCTGTCAATTTACAGTGTTTTCACACATGTGTACAAGGACAAAGTTGTTCACAAGTTTGCACTGACTTTTCCTTATTTTATTATAGAGACAACTTGGCTTGATATTCATGGCAATACTAGCCATCCTGTTGGCTGAATTGCTTCACTCACCCACTGCTCAAAAGATATGAGGGGGCATAATTGATTGGGCCCCATCCTTCCTGCCACTAATAGCTTGTCTAACAGATGCTTCCAACCACTCTTTCATACTTCCATCTGCCTTACTCATTTTTTTGTAAAGTGTTTTTGAACACTCAAAGAGCAAGAGTGGCAAGCAAAAGGATTTGTGACACAGCAAGGATCATAGAGTAGGAAAAATGTCCATAGTTTGTCCTGTATAGGTATACACCACACTTAAATCTATACTTTTTTAGAATAAAATTGTACAATTATCTTAGTTCTAATTTTTGAGTGCTTAAACACTGGAATCTGCACTGAATTGAATGAAAAAACTGTGTTTTATCTGAGTTTTTTGAGAAATGAGTGACTCGTGTCAAAATTCACATGAATCAATGTGTGACAATATTTATGAAAACAACAGTAGTTGAGTTATAGTAGATTTTGTATTTGAGTGTACTTAGTGTGACGAAAATCATGAATTGCATGTGTGACAATATTTAAGTGTTCCAGCAGTGGTTGAGTTTAAGTCACCATGCGTGACGTGAGAGGGAGACGCGTCTGTCACGTAATGTGCATGACCAACAAATCGCATTAGTGCTCCGCGCGTAAAATTTCCCACGTATACACATACACGCGTATAATTACAGGCATAAACTGGGTCAGCAGGACCCATATACAATACGCTACTTCCGTATACAGTGTATACAGTGTATACACTGTGCCAAATATAACAAGATACTTTACATTAAAATAGCTCATAAAAGTACACTATCATCTTTCAAAACAAATGCTTGATATTACTGAGCTAAGAAAATGTATTGTAGTGCTGTTTACACACAGAAATAAGACAGTTGAGTGTTGTGAGTTAATATCATGTGACAGCTCTAAACCTTCATGTGATGTACTGTAGTAACCATACTAACCATAGTACTCATACTAGTACTTTTTAAGTTAAACAAGGTTGTTATATACTATTAAAATGATTTGGTATATAAATGGGTGACTTCCTGTAAGCATATTTAGCTTTTTTCTCAAATCCTAAACTGCTGGGTGACATCAGTTGAGTGTAAGCAAGAGTAAGCAAAGCAGGAACCAAATAACACTCACTTTTCACTACACTCCAAAATTGAGAATCTGAAGGAGGGGTACAACCCCCCTCTTCAGACTCAACACACAAGAAATCCTATCCTAAAGCACTTTAGCCAACACTTATAGTAATTGTGCCTGAGCTACTGTCATTTTGTCATCAAAATTAACTCCATTTAGTCTCTTATGTAATGGAATCTGCCTCTGACTTAGTGACTGGAATCTGACTGTTTTTTCTGTGTTACAGTTTGAAGTTCCTTACTTCTATCTTGCTTAAAATTTTGTTTGGTCTGTCTGGAGTTTAGAAACATTGAAATTCCTTACAGGAAGTCACCCAATAAGTAAAGTAAATGAGGTTTAGAAACTCAAACTTAGTATTTAATTAGAGAATATGCTTAGTAATACTGTATACTTGTATACAGTGTATACAGAAATTTTTTACTTATGGTATACACATACATGTGTAAATATACACCTGTATTTTCAGCTAAAATTTTCTCTTACAATACAGTGTGTAAGCATATACACTGCAGGTGTATCTGTAAATTATGCTACAGTGTGGAGCACTAAATCACATCAAAACCTGTGAGAATCTTTCAGCATCAAACTTTTTTGTGACAAGGTCATAATGTGCCCAGCTTGATAAAGGACTGTATTACTGTTGTTTTCAGGACAACTCTCCATGGTCGACGACTTCCGACTCGAGGAGGAACGTCAGTATCTGCAAGATACGTCCGGGCACTGTGGCTCCTTGTCCACCATGCAGAGCTTCCTCCCAGGCTGGCATTAAGCAGATAAGCAGACCTATAAGCTTGCTGCTTCAGCATTCGTAGGGCAAAGTGTGTGCAATGTGCATAGATCTTAATTTTTACCTCTGTCAAGTACATTTGACAACATGGTTTATAGGTATTTTCTATGAGCATAGCACCTGCTGGAGTTATTAGCTGCATTGTTTGTGAGATTGCTGTGTCTGAAAACGAAGATTGGAAAGTCTGCAAAGAGAAATTCAACATTAATATTCATTGAACCTTTTCATAAAACGTTATTTCGATTTTTTATCTTACGTCTGAATCAAGTTCATAACAACATTGTGTCAAATGTGGCTGTCTTGTACACTCCCATGATAGAAATTGGCCCCTTACAAGGAAGGCTGCTAAACATAGTGCAATTGTTGATTGTGCCCTTGAGCTTGACAAGATGTCTGGAACACTTATTAAAGCACTGTGTGAGTATCAATTTTATCTGGTAAGTTATTAAAATCGGAATTGATATCTGCTCTGAGACAATGGCCTGGATGTCAGAAGACACAGTTGCAGCAGTAGGAATGCTCCCATAGCATCTGACCTCAGATTTTGTTACAAGCATAGGTTTATATATTCAAAGGTGCCCAAGGCCAAATTGTATACACAGTGCATGACGGGGAGGGAAAGTACTCTGAACACACACATGCTGGTGCAGACAGGATGAACAAGAGTCAGCAATACCTTTGTTGGTATTGAGTATGTTACTGTGACAAACTACCCGTTCATTGATAATACAGAGAGTTTCTTCTTTGCAGAGGTGAAGTATTTGTATAGCCAATCAAGCACCTATGTGGATCAAATTAACCCATCTCTCAGTGCGAATGTCAGGTCGCCCTTTAAGTTCTACAGCCGCTTTACGAAGCCCCGCAGCTGCCCGCTTGTACCTCGCCTCGCCCTCGTCGCAGTCGCACATGAACTCATAGACTTTCCTGGCGAAGAAGGGCCCGTCTACGTCAAGTAGTTCCCACATCGACCCGATCACGCTTCGAAATCCAGAGAACTGCATTGCTGCAGCGAGGTGGAGCACCTCATCATGTATGCCATCGTGAGGTTGTTCGGCAGTATGGCAGGCAGAAAGGAATGCGAACTCTGCGTTCGGAAGATTCGCTTGGACAATATCGAGTAAGGTCAGACCACGGTCAGATACCTTGAATGAAGAGTTGAAAGGCTGAGGATCCAAGCCTCCATGGCAAACGAAATGCACCCATGCCGTGGCCCGAAGCGCTTTAATCACCGTTTTGTGAGACGTCTTATTGTTGAGTAATCTGATTTTTATGCCGCAATTTTTGATGTTGCGAATCTCGCTCTTAGCTGACGGAAGTGAAGTATCACCGATAACAAGAACTGTCGGTTCTTCCGTGCCTTTACACGACTGTGCATCGACGAGTGCTCCGAGTGTCGGAGCATACGATGAGACGAATTTGTCTAGTAGATACCTCGTAGCACCGTCTGTGTCCTCAATGGACCTGCGGCGTGGAAGGGAAACGCAGACAGCACGAAGGTAGGGCACCACCAAATGCGCGATCCTTCAGCAATTCCGAGCTCGATCAGTTTGTCGACGACTTTGGAGACGACCCTATCCCATAACGTCTTCATCACTTGGCAGAGGATCTGGTCATATTCCGGCGAGTCAGCTCCAGAGTGAAAGCGCGTTTCCAAGAGCTCGATGTACAACTCAATGCTATCGTTGAAGAACTCTCCATCTAATGGAATGCAGACAATCGGAAAATTCTCGCGTGAGGAAACAATGAGTGCATCAGATCGATAATTGCAATGGTTGATCACAATCACTGGGCCGTCTGAAGTTGCGTGTTGGAGTACTTTAAATGGCGTAGCTGCAAGAAAGTTCTCAAACCCGGGTAATCGCCGTATCTTGTTGATAACCTCCTCCTGCTCGCTACTGAGTTGCTTCTTCAGCTTCAGCCTCTCCTCAAACAATTTCCGTTCTTCATGTGCGTCTAATATGGATAACGCATTCCGGGCTGTACTTGTGTCAGACGGCGACTCAGCAGACGAGATTGCAAGACTCTCCAGCTGGCTATTAACACTCCTGAACCTGTCAGCGAGCTCTTTGTTCGTTTCTGCAAGGCGATCTAGAGGTGCCCTAAACCCACGCATCTGAGACCAGAGTAAACCCCTCCCCTGCTCAAGTATCTCTACAGCCTCTTCGAACCTGTTGCTCTCTATAGCATAGGCCACTGCATCTAATGTGAGAGTTCTATAGTGATTTACTCCTTTGAGGAAGTCGTGTTGTGCAGGAAGGGTAGGATTAACGACGAGAACTTTTTGCAAGAGCAACATTGCCGCTTTGTACGCTCTAGATGTAGTATGGTGAGCATGACTTCGAGCAAAGCTAGCCCATTGACTGGCAGTCTCGAGACGCATCACTGCACTTGAAAATTTATGCACAGTGGCACGTTCGAATAATTGCATGCACTCTTCAAGATCATCCTTGTCACCGAACTTCTTAAATCGAGAAAGTAAAGGAATGGCCAGGTTTCTCAGAGACCCGGAATGCTGAGAATTGCCTTCTGGACACAGTTCTACGGCGGCACGGGAATGTTTGATGGCTTCGTCAAGATCCGCAGTCCGTCCATGCTGTTCAAAACGAGAATGAAGAGAACTTGCAAGGCCAGCCAAATACTTGGAACGACTAGGCTGACTATTGCCGCAAATTTCCAGGGAAGCACGATGATACTGGACAGCCTCATCAAGGTCTGTAGTCTGCCCATGTTGTTGAAAGAGAGTCTGAAGGGAATTTGCAAGGTTGTTCAGTGATGCAGAACGGTTAGGATGGCCATCGGGGCAAATTTCCAGGGCAAAGCGGCACAGCTCAATGGCTTCATCGAGATCCGCCATCTGCCTATGTTGCTCAAATCGAGCTTGGAGGGAATGCGCAAGATTATTCAGAGACGAGGAACGATGAGGATGGCCGCCGGGGTAAAGTTCCAGTGCAGAATGGTATAGATTGATGGCCTCATCAAGGTCAGCGGTCTGCCCATACTGATTATATCGAGCTTGAAGGGAATCTGCAAGATTACTCTGTGACAAAGAACGTCTAGGATCGTCGCTGGGTAGGGCTCCCAAGGCAGAGCGATAAAGCTCAATGGCTTCGTCAAGATCCGTGGTCCGCCCGTGCTGTTCAAATCGAACTTGAAGGGAAAGTGCGAGATTGTTCATAGACATGGAAAGGTTGGGATGGTCCTTGGCACGAGTCTCCAAAGCCGCTCGATGATACATGACAGCCTCGTCAAGGTCCGCAGCTTGCCCATATTGGTGAAATCTCGTTTGAAGGGAACCTGCGAGGTTGTTCAGAGACATTAGGCGATTAGGATGGCCGTGTGGGCAAAGCTCCAAGGCAGCACGATGATATTTTACAGCCTCGTCAAGGTCTGCAGTCTGTCCAAGCTGTCGGAATCGCGCTTCAAGGCAGCCCGCAAGGCAATTCAGAGACACGGGACGATTGGGATGACTGAGGGGGCAAAGATCCAGGGCGGCACGGTGATACTTAACAGCCTCATCGAGGTCTACTGTTCGTCCGCACTGTTCAAAACGAGTGTGAAGGGAATCCGCAAGGAGATTCAGAGACATGGAATGATAGGGATGGCTGTTGGGGAAAAGATTCAGAGCAGTGCGACTATGTTCTATGGCCTCATCAAGGTCTGCAGTTTTTCCATGTCGAGAAAACCGAGTCTGAAGGGAGCTTGATAGGTTACCGAGAGAAATGGGACGATTGGGATGACCGTCGGGGCAAAGTTCCAGGGCAACACGATAGCACTCAACTGCCTCCTCTAGATCTTCCATTCTCCCGTATTGCTTGAATCGTCTGGAAAGAAAATTTCCGAGAATAGTAGATGCCTTGTTGCGATCTTGATGTCTCTCAGGATAAAGTCCGAGTAATACGCGACCGTGAAAAATCGACTTGTCAAGTTCTCCTCGTTCGCCCGATTGCTCAAAGCGATCCCAATTTTTTAGGGCCAGATTGTAGAGTCCACGGCAAACAGATTCAAGGTCGACATAGTACTCCATGTTGACACAAGTTGGTAATAATCGTTCACGGTTCCTGTATACTGGGTAGACCTGTTTGCTCAGTTCGAAGGCGCCAATAAGCTACAAAGCGTGCATTACCTGAAATTCTCCTGTGTCCTTGAGGCGTGGTCGGTCCAAATGCTGTCTTCCAAACGAAATATTCGCAGTCAATCTAAAATTCCTCCTCGTTATGATTCATACATTGGAGTGTGTAAGAAGAGACCCACTTCAACGCAGCGGAAAGTATCTGATCAGTATGAAAAGCTGGTTCCTTGGGTCAAGCCCCGGGTACAATGCTCCGGTCAAGCGAAGGCGTTGAGCGCTTGAGAGCAACAATTGTTTATACATCAATACAATCCTGGATCAAGACTAAAAGCTAGGAGCATATCGAAACCTGCGACAAGGTTTGATGGCTTAAATTCTCACAGAATTTGATGGGATCATTTGATCACGTTGCGTGACCGACGCGTCTCCTTTTGTGTCACGCGTCGCGACTTAAACTCGACCACTGCAGGAACATTGGACAAGCCGAGTACGCCCTCCATGGCCGACGACTTCCGTCTCCAGGAGGAATGTCAGCATCTGCAAGATACTTCAAGCTATGTTATCGAGAATGAACACGATGTACGCTCTATGGATAGCCATGAGGTTACCACGTTGCTCGAGGGTTTGTTTCTCGTTCGCTGCTGGACTTGTTGTCATTAAGAGTTAGCTGACACGTTTGTTGTCTGCAATCGGAATTCGTAGATGCTGTTGAGCAAGTCGCTGTGTCATCTGAAAATATAGCCACCCCGCAGGTGTTTGATGCATATCGGAGTCTTCTCAAGTGAATTCTGTCCACAACTTTGTCTGCACTTACAATGACGAGACTCTGACACTGGTTGTAGGCATGCAGACTCGTTACAGGGTTCTACGATGAACAAGCTCCTCGACTCTGTCACCTCGGGTCTTCTAGCAGAATATGATTCAGCTATGCGAGACCTCGACACAGGTGATCCAGAATCGATCAGCGCGCACAGGACGCCGCTCGAGATGTATGCTTTTCTTCTTCAGTGGTTCGTTAGTGCCGCAGAAAAAGTGAAGTCTCAAGGTACAGAGGACAACTCTGGTGGGCCTGCCGTTGCTGCACCAAAGCCACGACGAGGCAGGGGTGGGAAAGTGGCAAATTCGAGGACGAATGCGGCTTCCAGGAAGGATGTTCAGTGGACCTGGTTTGGACAGATTCCACAGGCACTTGCGCTGATTAGTAAAGTATTGAGGCTGAAAACGCATCGAATATGGACGACGACGCCCGATCGGGATGCGTTTATCAAGTGCGTGTATCTGACTGAGTCATTCATCGCCATGCTTCCAAATATTAATGCTTTTCATCCCCCACGATAGCTGCCTTACACGCCCTGCATATCACATTAGCGAATCAGAGACATACATGAAATCCAACGAGATTAAACTCGGGGTGTACAAGGTCATCTGTCTCGCGGTCAAACACCATGGGCACGGTTTCGGCGCGCAAATCTCCATTATGCAGTGCCTACAGTACTACGAACATCTGTCTGAGCCAATGGCAGAGGCGCTGACCGTGCTCTCGAAGGAGTTTGATCACAGTCAGCTTGCGGAGGAAATCCTACGTGAGATTGCTGGGAAGAACTTTAGTGGACAGGATACGAAGGGACCCCGTGCATTTTCGAGGTTCCTTGTACGCCTTGCAGAGCTATCGCCCCGCTTGGTTTTGAAGCAGATAAGCTTGCTTCTTGCGCATCTGGATAGTGAGGTGGGTGTACTGTTCTCTTTCATTTCCGAGCGCTATGTTTACGATCTGAGTTCCAGTCGTACCCCATGCGTATGGCGCTTGTTGAAATTATCGGCTGCCTCATTCGCGAAATCGCCATGTCAGAAGATGAAGACCAAGAAGCTCGCGAAAAGAAACTCAACAATCTCTTTGATCTCCTATTGGAACGTTATCTCGACCTTTCGTCTTACGTCCGAGCCAAGGTCATAACAACTCTCATTAAGCTCTGCGATCTTCCTGTCAAATTTCCCAAACAACGTTTGGCAATGACAGAGGCGACTGTTGGTGCCCTGGAAGACAAGGGTAGCAGTGTTAGACGCCATGCGATCTCGCTTTTGACAAAATTGATCTTAACACATCCATACGGACTTATGCACGGCGGATTGCTGAAACTTGACGAATGGGAGGATAGATATCAGGAAGTTTGCAAGGAGCTGGATGCGCTTGATCTGAAAGAGATGGAGAAGCCTCCTGTGGAGAAGGAGAATGATGAGGAAGGCGACGAGGACGAAGAGGACGACGATGAGGATGAAGACGAGGATGAAGAAGGCGAAGGTGATGAGCAAACTAATGAAGAGGTTGGCGAGAGTAGTGATGCGGATATTACTAGCTCTCCAATGAAGGCAGTGCAGAAGCGCATGCGGTGTGTGTAGTTCGTTGCTATTGTCTTCTTATTGCACTAACTAGCGACGATAGATCTTCCCGGGCAAGGAGGAAGACAGTTCCTGCTTCTGGCGATGATGAGGATGAAATGGATGTGGAAGTCCCCATCCCTCAGGATGAAGAAATGGAAGGCATTGAAGGCGAAGAAGGCACTGAAGACGCCATTGTCGAGGAAGGATATGAAGGGGACGAAGGCTTCTACGAAGACGAAAACGGAAATGCAACACCAATGCTCAGCTATGCCGACGCCGGGATGATGCCAACACCTCTTCGTACACCAAAGACTCCGTGTAAATCCATGGTACCCACACGAACGCCACGCACTATCCCCAAATCCGCCTTCAAGTCCGCGAAGGAGGATAAGAAGAAAAAGAAGGCGAAGAAGCCGCGAAAGAGTCAGCTTGATATATCTGCGTTGACGGATGAGCAGGTTGCACTAGCCGCGCTGCAGAGCAGCCAGATATTGAATCTGAAACTGCGAAAGAAATATTATGCGGAGGCATTGAATTTTATCAGGCGGATTGAGGGTGCGATGGAGATTATTGGGCAATTGCTTGGATCGACGAATAAGGCGGAAGTCTTGGAGTCGATTGAGTTCTTCCGGGTTGCCCACGAATATCAATTCGTCGGAGCAGAGGTAAGCAAATTATGCATTTGTCATCCCTAGAGGCCCGCTGACGACTTCTTTCAAGGCTGGTATCAAGAAAATGGTGCACCTCATATGGTCAAAGGATAATAGTTCAACATCGGAAGACGGGAAAGAGCTCAAAGGTATACGGTCACGCCTCCTTGAATGCTATCGCAGCCTCTACTTTGATCCACTCCCGGACATGGAGCCGAAACAGCAAGTCAACAGGATTGCCAAGAACATGATTGAGTAAGTAGTACTATGATGATCTATTTGATTCCCTTACTCAAAAAATCCTGAAGGCTCACATACGACGCGACTCTAGCTGAGCTCACTTCTCTGGAGGAGATGATGAGGACGATGATGGACGATGATCAGATACACGGTGATGTCATCGCGAAGCTTTGGCAGGTGTATAGTAAGTGCCTCGACCGAGCATTTCAAGTTGCGTATACTAATTTGTATTCACAAGGCTCGGAGAAACAGCTTCCAAGGGAGCAGCGTAGAGGAGCAATCATTATCCTCGGCATGCTAGCTCTAGCTAGGAGGTCGGTTGTCACAGATCGAGCCGAGACACTCCTAAAGATCGGACTAGGCGTATTTGGAAGGGTTCGCAAGTTCCATTAGCATTAGAATATGCATTTCTTAAGCTGTATTAATATGCTTAATTTTCCCAGGTTGATTTGTTACTTGCTCGGTATACCTGCGTCGCGTTGCAGCGACTCAATGGAAGCGCCAAGAAGGTCAAAGGTAATCCCCTGTCCTCGGGTTCGTTAGAGACAGTGCACAGTATCTAACGTTCTGAAAAACAGGCTCGCTCTTAGACAAGACTCTTCGCCTAGAGATGGACAATCCTATATTCAAGAGGCTCCAAGAAGCCATTCTTCACCCATCACGGTCGAAAGAATGGTTCGGAATGGCGGAACAAGCTATCAACACTATTTATGGTCTCGGTGAACACCCGGATGTCATGTGTAATAACCTGATCAAGATTCTTGCACGTAGAGCATTTACGCCGCGGGATAGGAGTGAGCAAGTGGAGAAGCCAGTTGCGGAGGATGCCATGGATGAAGATCCGGTGCCGGAAGAAGGCAGTGTTCCACCTACGCCGAGGGCGCAATCGGCTCAGTCTTCGTCTGGTCCGACGGATAAGGGCGATGCATTTGAGCTCAGCCAGTTGTTGTTTGTTGTTGGGCATGTCGCTATCAAGCAGATCGTGTATCTGGAACTGGTCGAGCGAGAATGGAAGAGACAGAAGGATGAGAAAGAGAAAGGTGACCCACAAGCATTTCGAAATTTGACTTGCATTAACATTCTCTCCAACTTTTCCGCTAATAGCCGAGAAGGCAGCGGCTAGTGATAATCACCGCCACAGCAAGGATGGAGAAGAATTGGAACAGGTTGCAGGTAATGCTGAGGACGAAATCGGCGAACGCATTGCCGCAGTGCGCGAATCGGAGTTGCTCTATGGACCTGATTCTCTACTGGCCATGTTCGGTCCTATGATCGTCCATATTTGTGGAAGTCCACATAAGTACAAGGTAAGTGTTAAATTAGAATTCCTTTTATTGGAAGTACAATTTACCCATCCGGTTTAGAACAAGACCTTGCGAACAGCCGCGATCTTAGCATTCAGCAAGCTCCTCTGTGTCAGCTCCCAATACTGCGACCAGCACCATCGGCTCCTCTTCAAGATCCTGGAAACGTCAAAGGATCCCAACGTCCGAAGTAACGTTGTCATCGCGCTCGGCGACGTCGCGGTGTGCTTTAGCAATATCATCGACGAGAACAGCAACGAGCTGTACAAGGGCTTATCGGACCGCAACCTTGTTGTGAAGAAAAACACGCTCATGGTGCTGACGCATTTAATCTTGAATGGTATGATCAAGGTTAAGGGTCAGTTGGGAGAGATGGCAAAGTGTTTGGAGGATCCTGAGCAGAGAATTGCGGACTTGGCTAAGCTTTTCTTCACTGAGCTCTCGACCAAGGATAATGCGATCTATAATAACCTGCCAGATGGTATGTTTCCTCCTTGTACCGGGAATTGCGCGGTGTGCTGATGGTTCGTCGACATAATGTCTTTAGTTATCAGTCATTTGTCAGTCGGAGAACATGCCGTCGACGAAGAAGCGTTCCAGAGCACAATGAAGTATATCTTCACTTTTATCGAGAAGGCAAGTTTCCCTCCATATCATTCCTCTTACTGCAATGTATTAATTATTATTTTCCGCCTTATGGAATATAGGAAAAACAAGCTGAAAGCATTGTCGAGAAACTCTGCCAACGTTTCCGACTCTCGGAAGACCCACGTCAATGGCGAGACGTCGCGTTCTGCTTATCACTCCTTCCCTTCAAGTCAGAACGGTCGGTAAAGAAACTCATTGAGGGCCTGCCGTTTTATCAGGATAAGTTGCATGAGGAGACGGTGTTTGCGAGATTTAGCGAGATATTGGGGAAGGTGAGTCTTTGACTCCGAGTCTCGGAGGACGGGAGGACGGATGATTGACTTTGACGTCGTGTATTTTAGGCAAGATCAAACAAGTCTGCAAACAAACCTGACTCAGAGCTTAAAGAGTTCGAGGGTGTAAGTCGATCTCAATTCCAACTACGATGCAAGGAAATTATCGAGTTCATTCTTTATTCCCTTTAACCTCTATTAGATCCTTGAAGAACATAAACGACAAGGTGAAGAGGACCATGCACTTGAAAAACGTGCAGAGGGTAAGAAGGCTGCTGCGAAGAAGCGGGCCACTCGTAAAGGTACGTTCCTCCGACGTATCCCATTTACGCAGAGAATATGATGACTGATTTGTTTTATCTTTGTGTAGCAGGACGACGGAAGGCGAAAGATAGGGATGATGATTCTGATTAGAATAGATTTATTTTGCTTCCTGTAGCCTTTGTTATCCTGCCTTTCGGTTGATTGTATTGGATTCACTTTATGTACCACACTATGCTAATATGTAGCAATAGTAACGAAGTCGACTTTGCGATACGTTCCAAAATGGTTTTTCGAGTGCGAATCGTCTTGAGTGTATTGCTCCATGTGAGGTTCATGTTTGCCAGCTAAGTAGGAAAGGGTACAACGGGTAGACACTGTGTGTTGCGCAGGAGCGTATTAACACTATTGAAAGCTCATACACAAAGATTAAATCGGTAGCCTTTGGTAGGGAAGCAAGATGTAATTCGGCATTGCTCTCATCTAGATGCCAGTATATATACAATGCATGTGCTTGCCACTACCCTGTCATTTACGGCAATAACAACCTGATATGTATACATTGCACGCACACAATGCCACACAAATCACACGCAAATCATCAAGAATAGCCATATACCCTTGGGGCTGGTCAAGTGTTTCGAAGTGCGCGTGGATGAAGCAACCTAAATGGGCAGTGTGTGAGCAGTGAGTACCATTGCCATTGTGCGTTGTAGATTGATGCTGGACGATGTGGCGCCGCTTGAAGTCTGGGCGGCAGCGGTAGCGACGACTATGCCATGTTGGGGGAAGCACCCGAAGCGAGAGTGAGAGTGAGGTGTGGGCTTGAGTCATCAGTGAATGCTTGAACGTGAGTAGGAAAAGAGGGGAGGCAGAGGAGGGCTGAATAAGAGAAATTTCTTGGAGGACTTGAAATAAGCACCCGACGTGGAGCCGGACGCCCCGAATGTGAAACGTTTGCTGAGTAGTGGTTCGGTAAGTAGACCTGTATGTCGCTTGCGAGGTTGGGGTACCAATTTTGGTGCCGCGAGGGCGCTCGAAGTCCAGGGGAGAGAGAAGACAGAAGAACAGACCAGAATACATGGGCGGAAGTACAGTTGAAGCTGGCCAGATGATAATTATCACGGAAATTCCATCCAGTCGAAGTCGGACCGATTTGTGTATGGAATGTGTAAACTCCGTACTCACAGCAGAATCCAGTAACAGTACAATATTGCACAGTCTTATCCAACGAACGTACTGATAGGTTTACAGTTGTATTAGGACTCTAATACCATTCCATATAAACCACGACGGCTTGTCGGCACATTCTGGTCAGCACCGTGCATAATACAGTCGGGACCATCGGGGCATTTTAAATTTGAGGAAGGGATGAAGGGCAATAGCGAAAAGCCCTCCGCCAGATCCGAGGTGACCCGCTCTGCACCCCGCAGCATAACACGCCGTTCAAGCTAAACTCCTCGTCAAAGTCTAGCGCCGTGGATGGATGATATCACTGAAACACAGATGCCGGCCAATAGTTTGCTGCTGCGCCTGACGTTTGGCTCACCGCGGCCAACAAGCATGCAGACAATTTTGGGTGGTGGCAATAGAATCTTCGGACGTTCGGCACTAAACTCTATGAGATGAGTGATCAGTTCAGAATCAGGGCGGCACGAAAGCCGAATCAGGCTTCGTCTAATTTTAGATGAGCATTGGATCGCTGCTGGTTAGAAAATTTTGACTTTCCTATTTAGTCGTATCCGTGCGCTGAAATTCGTTTGTAGTGGGCTTTTGTGAGTTCGTCTTTCTTGCAGCTGCTGCATGAACGCTTATGAGCTGTATAATAAGCTATAAACCCTGCCATAACTTCATTTTCTTCACCTTTGCAAGTTCCGTTTGTGCTAAACGGTATGACGTCATTGTTTATCGCTCTCCTTCCCGAATCTTCCGTCGTCACCTTCATTTCTATACGCTGCCGTAAAGCACACGGCAGAATCGTGACTCCTCCTTCTAGTTCTTCCAACGGCAGACACAGGCCATGTCACAGAACACCAGAAGAATCGAGTCCGTGTACGGCCGTACATGACACACTGTGAAAGCCCAGACTAACTGTGCAATTTCTGTGGCTAAACTTTGAATGTGAAGAGCAAGGCAGTTGAATCGTCAATTTGTCCTGGGTTTCTCATACTTTCGACTGCAACTGTCAATAACCGCAAGTATCTCGGAAAGACTGCTTGGCTCCTCTTCCCCTATCCCTTTGGGAGAACATTTTGCTTTTCTTCGCGACCAGTGCTATTCAGCACGCAATAATTGTGCGCATCACACGTTGATGGTAAAGTTGAACATCTGACAAGATTTCTCCTGTGGACTGTAGAACGCATCACACGTTGTAGAGTCTACTCCACTGATGCATGTGTTTATCGCTTTCTTCTCGTTCTTGGACATCTCTTGTCGAGTCTTGTCCAAAGGTTCGTACTACTTCAAACCTGAGCAGCCTTACCTCGTGCATCAACGTTTCGTGATTCCCTCAAGGCGACCCTGTTTCTTTAGCTTTTGTGCTTGGATTGTTAATTACCTTTCCGGTATTTGAATTTAGTTATGATAGTTTCGCTTTATATCCATGAAAGGTCGTGATCTACATCATATAAAGTAACTTTTTTCGTTTCTCCGACTAGCACTTTTATGAGCAAATTTCGCATCCTGATTTTCCAAAAGTCTGTCGAGCACACGACCGAGACCATCAATAAGACGATTCCTGAACAAATATTCTCTTTTCTGCGCTGGGTTTCGTCGATATATGCACGCTGCTCACTCACGTGAATTCGAAGGCAGTTGTCAAGGACCTTCGCAAGACTTCACTACATCAATATTCGCATACTGTTTCTCTTGTGCTTTGTATTGTCGGCGGAAATTGTTCCATCATATTTATTCTTAATCAACCCCAAATCACAGTCAGGTAAATATAGTCCACCACGATCAAGTTATTCAATAACGATGAGATGAATGGAAGGTAAAATCTGGCAATAGATCACGCAGATGTATGTACACTTTACACAGCACTATTTCAAAACCATCGTACATTTCGGAGTCAGATTGGAACGCAGGGAGATAAGGAGTCAGCATCCTAGTATTAGGCTAAGCACGAGGATAATGATGAGCCTGGTACATGTTTATACACCGTATATGAAGGCGGCAAAAACGGGTAAATCCATTACCATGTCTGAGGCTAGCAGTTAATATTACATACATTGCATTAATATTAGTGCTGATATAACCAATGAAGTCAATCAGTATGGAAGCTGGTCGTAGACTAGGAGCCTAAGCCATGGGTTCTTTTTATGCCGGACGACAGCGTGCACGCCAAATCGAAGTAGTAATAGGAACTGCGGTATTAGTGCCTTTTTTCTATACTCATACCATCTCGTGGATGCCGAATTCAATTATAAGCCTGCTAAGGAGTCAACGTCTTGATAACGCATCGTGAACTTTCTCCGATGTTCGTCGAGGATTCGTTGATTGTACTATACGATAGGGCGTGTACGGTGTGTGTGGGTTTGTCTTTCTGCCCGTGATTCCGTCATGAATAATCAATTAGCCACCCCCGAGCAAGTACTACTGGTAAGCATGACGCTTATATGCACATTATCCCGACATAATCCGAAGTCGTGGTGTAGCTTTACGCAATTCTATTGCGATGTAGAGAAGCACTATAGCTCAGCAGTCCACGAGGTCGAGGTCGAGGCAGCCAAGACGGCACGCAGGGTTCAAAGATCCAAAAGGTTTACGATCGAACTTCACTGAGGCAAGATATGTATAGTTGCTCGAGCTGAAGTCGAGAGCATACTGCTTCTCTCGCTCGCTCTAACACCGCCATGAGCTGAGGAGGTTTGGGGTACGAATTCCTGAAATTTTGAATACTAGGGAGCGTTCTTCCCTTTCAAGCTGGGAAATTTCACAGAACCAGTTTGGGTAAAAGTAAGTACACCATTCAAAGAATGAAGGTATATTTTCCTGTAGAGTGGAGAGTATGTGTTAGACATATACCTCTTAATTAAGGTCTGCGTTATTCCTCATTGAAGATGTCCAATCTTGCCGATGCCTTAGAAGCGTTCCATGTCCTCCCACTAAATGGGTAGCTCCAAAACAATATTTTCAAAAGATATACTTACTGCGGTTGTTTTCCGTCGTTTTGTCCAGAGTGGTAGTCAGGTGCTTAAGAATTTACAAAAGCCGGTCCAGTCGGAAACCACTATATAATGCTATATGAGAGTAAATTTCAGCATGAGGACAGAGCATATAAATATTAGCATATGGCTCACCTGCTATAAATTCAAGCTATTGCACTTGCTGCCGGAAACAAACGGTGACCTAAGTCCAATGCCGGGAGAGTTACGGAAGTTCCGAGTTGCTCGCTATCATCGGCATCCCTCCTAACCATGCGGATCTGTCGTAGTTGTAAGCCCACAATAATTCGGGAAGAGGCAGGAACGAGGGAACATAGGGAACTTAGGGAACTTACGGAGCGTCAAACGAAAACTGGAACCACTGGCCATAAGTACGCACCCGGACACACCGGGCTCGTCGTTGCTCTTATTATAGGTGGGTGGGTGGAACAGTATGTTGTAGCATAGCAGCGGATCGTTGTCCCGCGTTCCGTCTCATGCGCGTCGTACGACCGAATTCATGTCGTGTGCAACCCATTTACGGAGCGCCACGCAGCCTCATTTTAGTGGTCGAAGCGGCGGATTTGACGGGTGGTTGACGGTTGCTGGGATACTTTACACGGTTGTCGTCATATTATCCAGGTTGGAATTTCCCATCGCTTTCTTTTGTTGTCGCGTGTTATGAACCGTGTCTTCTTTCCACATGAAATATACGATCCGAGACCGGAGTTGCTGTGCGTGGTGGTCGGGAAGCTTATCATTCGTGCTTCGCTTCGAGAAACGCCGGATCTCAAAGAAGAAATTAGGAAATGAGGTGGAAATGAGGCAGAAATTGTGGTCAGATTTGGAAGTTCAGGCGGGAAGCGATGCATGCTTGTATGAAATGAAGATGCGTTGCGTCTTCTCTAGCACTCATTTGGGAGCATGAAGGTCTGGAAGGAACAGTTCCTAGAGTCCAGAGCTATAGGCACTTCACCATAAGATAAGCAGAGCGAAATATGAAAATCATCCTATGACAGGGCCCATGCATACGGTACCGGAACAAAATGGATGAAGGGCGAGATACGGGGCGCCATCTCGTGATGGTCCGTACAGCTCGATGGTGATCGAGTTCGTGCCTCGATATACACAGAGTCGTCTAGAGTCTGGATGAAGAGGAAGTCGTTCATGGACAAATATGTCAACTTCCGAATGTCTTGGCTTCATGAAACATTCCCGCCTTCTGTAGTCGTCGCGTCCGTCGCGAACATTGTATTTGTAGACTTCCGAGTTGCTTCCAGATTTCGGTTCTTCCACCGCAACATCCATGAGTCTTCCAATTTGCAATTATTTTTTCCCTTATGCCAAGCCACCGAGTAGGTAGAAGCGGTGCGGCGGTCCATACTGATGCGACACAGTCAACGAGCGTTTCGCACACGATCGAAGAACACGCCAAGGCAAAGAGCACTGGACACAGAGTGCAGCAGAAGGACAGAGTCAGAGAAAAATAGACGACCAGTCCAACCAACCAACCAATCAAACCAATCGAACGGACAGCTCAAGTCGATGATCACGTCGATCGGCGCCTCCTCAGCTATGTTGATTGATACGGGGATACTGATGATGATGGTGGACGCTCATTGCTGGATATTTTGATGCTGGATACTTTTGATGGACGACGCCTTTTTATTACTGTAATAAAATAAATAATTTCACATAAAAAAGCGATTCACTCGAACGACTTCCCATTCCCATCCCATCACTGGATACTCAGTTTGATCCCGCCTTGTCTTCGCAATACGATCACTCCGTTGATCTCGAATGATGTGAATGATACACCAAATGCACGCGATTCGACAAGACGAGTGGTCGTGTGCGTGGCGTGTCGTAATTTTCAGTTTTCGTCTCTTGCGTCCAATCAAAATTGGTTGAAGAGGTTGAGAGGCCCGTAACCATGCCTACGACAAGTAAGTATCCGATACCAAGAGACCAAGATTGACGCGAGACAGCACGGGAAGAACGTATGGAAGATATCAAGTATGGAAATGTTCATGTCGCAGGCGGCCGACGTGTGTTACTGTGCTGTTAGACGACGCGGCGTGTCATTGGACTGGGAATGGAACGTACAGGACGTAAAAAAAGAATCCAAGCAAAAAGATAAGAAAAGTAAAGAAAATCAGAAATTTCAGGAAACGAGAGAAGGGTTAATGATTAAGTTCGGTGGGAATGATCCCGGCGTTTAGGGTGGTACAAAACGACAGGCAGGTGGAGAATGATCTATTTGTTGACCTGCAGGTATGTGCTAGGGCGAAGGAATTTGACAAGGTGGATCCGTGTTTGATGTTATTGACAATTCTACTTCTATCTCCTGACGAGTCCAGGCAAAATCGGATCCTCAAGGCGAAGGTAAAGACACCAGGCAAAGGCCTAGAGAACTAAGAAGTCTCGCAAGACGTCTATTTGATAATGATAATGATAATGAATATTATTAATTAGTATGTAAATGAAGTCGGGAGAACCATGTATGCATGCAAACAAGTGCGGTCCCGACTCCGGTATTATACAGGCAAACAACTTTACCGGTCGGTACGAAACAGAAAACGGTCACCCAAATTGTGGAGACTTTGCACAAGGAAAGTCAAAACTGATAGGAGATCTACGATTTTTCATACTTGGTGTGGCTGGGAGACAGGTGTCAACAACATGCAGACAGACGCTCAGACAGACTGATAAGCGGTCTTTCTAGTTTGTTTCCGGTTCTCCACACCCAAGAACGAGCACAGGACAAAGACAAAAGACGGAGCGTCCGCCGACACGCGATACTCCGCAGCAGATCTATTTGACAGTAATATTAATGTAATGTGGTTTCGAGGTGAAAGAAGCAACTGGAAGCGGCCTCCATCTGTCTTTCTTTCTTTACCTGAACGCCAAGAATGTCAAGAATAAGAAAAAAGACACTCATAGGAAACAATGAAGGAGCCACATGTAGAGAGAGCACTTTAGCGTATTGTACGCGGTGTGCCAAGAGGCGCAACGTTATCGACTGAGATGTGGGGTAAGGCAAGGGAAACAATAATTACAATACCCAACGCTGGTTGTAAGTCTTGGAATCCCAATCGTCTCCTTGTCCAAGGCCATAGAAGACCGGGATGCAGTTCATTTGAGCTGGACGCGTGGAGCTTCTAGCGCGCCCGCAGCAAGAATAACATCAATGCAGAACATCGGAAGGCTTGGAAGAGGCAATGTTTTGATGAAAACATGGACAAGACGCGCAACTATCGACAAGTAGCATAGCAGGTAACATAGCACAAGGGATTGATAGAAGTCTCATGTAACCCTCTAGGCTAGTGATACTGATAGGAATGACGACGACGACATGTCCACTTTTCGCTTCTCGTCGACGTGCCAAGAGTATAAAGTGAGATGGACAAGGCGTTCTTGGTCTTGGGTTGTGGAGGCTATGTCGACCGTTTTCCTTACTTCCTTACCGCGGAGTGTACGTACCACGAGTTTCTGTTTCTTGTTGCGGTGACGACGCTAGACTAAGAAAGTTAAGCGGCGCGGGGGGTCTTGCTGGCTCGTGGAGTCGTGTTTGTTTTGATGTTTTGATGTTTGTTTGTGGCCAAGCAGCCAAGCATTGTCAAGCCAGGGTTCGGAATGTCAGAAAATCCCCAGAACAGAACATGTAACAAGCGAGTGGTTTTTTGGAAATGGAATTGGGTGGTTGTGTAAAATGTGTAAATTGTTTTATCCTGCCAGCGGGGTGAGGGGGTGAGGGTTCAGAGGTTCAAAGTGCAGTCAGTGGCTTCTATTAGACGCAGAACGGAAAAATCGGACGGTAAATCATATTAATTGGCGCAGCGTCATGATTGGTCCAACACTTCAAATATTCAAACGCCCATAATAAATTTTGAAATTATTTGTTGATATTGATGAACAGAGGGTTAAAAATAACATATAGGATGGCAGGAAAGGGAATAGAACGTAAAGAAGTTACGAGAAGGTGAAACGCCCAGAGATATCCAAAGGCAAAAGTGACGCGGAGGGATGGAAGATGGTAAGATGGGGACGCGCACGATTGGCTCGGTGGAGACCAAGGCTGAGAGAGCGGAACAGCAAGGGAATGAATAAGTTCTCAAAAACAACGGATCCCCCGAACTACAGTAACACACAAGAAACATCTCCTCGGGCAGAGGTGAGGAGATCAGGATTTGAAACTGATGATCACCGCGCATCGGGTGTGGGGAGGAATGGGATGAGCACGATACGCTTAGCTTAGGTTAGAAGTCAGGCTCAGCGCTGTCCCACTCGGGGATGGGAGTATGGGATGTGCGCGCCTGTCGGAATACCGCGGGTTGTGCATCACGTACGACTCCACAGGCTATTCGCCCAGATTGCCCTAGGCGTGTCAGGTGCGGCCGACATTGGCGTCGGCGTTGACAGCGTGGTGATTTGGCAGCAGGGCGAGACGGAGGGCCGGCATATGTGTAATGATATGCGTTGAGCTGAGTTGAACATGAGGACATCTAGCCCTCGCCTTCGCCCCATCCATCCGTCTAACATCGGCTCATCGGGAACAAGGCGTTGCCGCCGCCGAGCTCATGCCACGCCCGCCGAGAATACTGATAACAAATATCCCTCATTCTATTTTTCTCTCATTCTAGTTTTTTGCTTTTTCGCTTTTTCGTTTACCTGAGAATTTTTTCTTTTGTGGGCTTTCCATTGTCTGGCGTAGACTTGGCTTGTCTGGGCATCCGGCCTTACAAAAAGTAGTGGGCGCGTGGCGGGGGCATTTGTGCGTGGATGAGTACTCGGCGATAGAGGGTCATAAGTCATAGCGGGCGAATAAACGGAGCGTGGACGGGAGTGACGCGGGGTGCGTTATCTAAGGGTGGTGAGCAGAAATTGGGAAACGGAAAGAACGGAAAATTTCTGTTCGACGGAAAAGGGATGTGGGAGGGATGGAAATGATTACGTGATGATGGGAGCGTTCGGGGCTGGATGGATGGGGCTTTATATACCGGACTCGTCCCACCGCTGGTTCGGTTCACCACTCCCCGTCATCCCTCTCAGAGCACCCACTGCCAGTGTCCGCTCTTCCTCTCCTCGAGCCAAAAGCTCAGCCTCTGCACCCTCAAAGGGCCAACACCCCGCTCTCGCATCCTCTTCGCTTCACCTCACTCCAGCGCTAGTCGCGGTTCTCTTTCTCTTCTCCCGCATTCAACCACAACCATGTCTGATCACGCCGAAAAAGAGGCGGGTCCGCCCGCTGCAAACCAGGCGCCGTCCCAGACGCCCTCTCAGACACCCTCCAACACCGACGCACCCCCAGAGAAGCGCAAACGCGAGTATAAGGACTTTGGCCATGACGAGGAGAAGGCAACACGTGAGTAGTTGGAAATTTTCAACATTCCTGTTCAATTGGGCGGCGTATGTGGCAATCAGTGTTCTGACGCGTATTCCCTCACTGTACAGACGCGAAGGTCGATATGTCCCAGATCGAGCTTCGTGCAGAGGATCTCTACGACAAGGAAAAGGTCGACCTTGAGACGATCGTCATCGACGACGTCTTCAAACTCCTCCAGTGCGATGACCAAGGTCTGAGCTCTGAGGAGTCCAAGCGCCGTTTCGAGATTTTCGGGCCGAACAAGCTTGAGCAGGAGGAGCAAAATGCTCTGCTTCAGGTTTGTGGAGATATTTTCTGTTCACTTTATCTCGGTCCGGCTCATGATCTCCTTGTTCTGGTCCCGTTTCAATTCAGTTCCTAAGCTTTATGTGGAACCCTCTCTCCTGGGTCATGGAGGGTGCTGCTCTTGTCGCTATTGCTTTGTCGAATGGTGGAGGTATGCCGCCCGATTGGCAGGACTTCGTCGGTATCATTTTACTTTTGTTCATCAACTCGGCCATTGGTTTCTACGAGGAGCGTAATGCCGGAAATGCAGTCAAGGCGCTCATGGACTCTCTTGCGCCAAAGGCTAAAGTTCGCCGAGACGGCAAGTGGCAAGAGATTGAGTCCGCTGACCTCGTGCCCGGTGATATGGTCGCTTTTAAGATTGGTGACGTCGTTCCCGCGGATTGCCGTCTGACGGAAGCCATCAACGTATCGATTGACCAAGCTGCTCTTACTGGTGAATCGCTCCCTCAGAGCAAGAAGCTCGGTGACCAGTGCTTCTCGTGAGTAATTCTCCAGCCTGGTAACGTGCTCGCGAGTTGCTGACTATGTGCGTTCAGAGGTTCCACTTGCAAGCAGGGTGAAGCTGAAGGTGTCGTCATCTCTACTGGTGCCAACACGTTCTTCGGTCGTGCCGCGTCGCTCGTCGGTCAGGATGACGACACAACCGGCCACTTGCAAAAGATTCTTGCACAGATCGGTTCCTTCTGTCTTGTTTCGATCGGTATTTTCGTCATTCTTGAGATCGTCGTTCTTTATCCGGCATTCCACTACACCTACCGTCGTGGTCTCAACAACATCCTTGTGCTTTTGATCGGTGGTATTCCGATTGCCATGCCTACTGTCTTGTCTGTTACACTCGCTGTCGGTGCCCAGCAGCTTGCAAAGCACAAAGCTATTGTCACTCGTATTACGGCTATTGAAGAGCTTGCAGGTGTCACTATCCTGTGCTCTGACAAGACCGGTACCCTTACGACAAACAAGCTGACGATCGACAAGAACCTTGTCAAGTGCTATGGCCCATTCTCGCCGGATGATGTCGTCCTTCTTTCTGCATACGCTTCCCGTACGGAAAACCAGGATGCCATCGACCAGTGTGTTGTTGGCTCTCTTGCTGACCCGTCACGTGCACGCGCGGGCATTCAGTTGCTCGACTTCAAACCCTTCAACCCTGTTGACAAGCGCACGGAGATTACTTACCGCGAAGAGTCGACCGGCAAACTCAAGCGTGTTACGAAGGGTATGACTGGTATCATTATTGAACTTTGTACGCGCAACAAGACGGACGAGATGGAGAACCGACTTGAGGCTGATGTTGAGGAATTCGCGACCCGTGGTCTTCGTGCACTCGCTGTTGCATACGAAGAATTGGATCACGAGGACCATGAAGGCGAGGGTAATGGCTTCGAACTCATTGGTCTTCTTGCGATTTTCGACCCGCCACGTGAAGATACCAAGCAGACCATCGACGACGCGTTGGCGCTTGGTGTTAAAGTTAAGATGGTAACTGGTGATCAGCTTGCAATTGCAAAGGAAACTGGTCGTCGTCTTGGTCTCGGTGACCACATGTACCCGGCCAAAGTGCTCAAGGAGGGCCCGCAGCCTGGTAGCAAGTACCAGAACCTCGATGAGATCATCCTTGACGCTGACGGTTTTGCTGGTGTGTTCCCTGAGCACAAGTACGAGATTGTCAAGCGTTTACAGGGTCTTGGTCACTTGTGCGCGATGACTGGTGACGGTGCTAACGATGCTCCTGCTCTCTCCCGTGCGAATGTCGGTATTGCCGTCGAAGGTGCCACCGATGCTGCTCGCGGTGCTGCTGATATCGTACTGACTGAACCCGGTTTGTCAACGATTGTCCATGCTATTCGCGGTTCGCGTCAGATCTTCCAGCGTATGCGGAACTATGCCATTTACGCTTGCGCTGTAACGATCCGTATCGTTGTATGCTTTGCCATTCTTGCATTCGCGTACAACTTCGACTTCCCGCCGTTCATGGTTCTTATCATCGCGCTGCTCAACGATGGAACGATCATGACGCTCTCCGTTGACCGTGTCTTGCCATCGAATACACCTGATAGTTGGGATCTTGCTGAGATTTTCAGTTACGCTGTTGCATACGGCCTCTACCTCACGCTGTCTACGTATGTTTTCTCTGTACAGTGTTATGACGTATGCGTTGCTGACCAACTATTTCGCACAGTATTGCCCTTGTTATAATTATTATAGAGACGACATTCTTCCAAGATAAATTCGGTGTTTCACTCGAGGATACTTCTCCAGCTGGCGCTGTCGACCACAACGATGACCAGTTGCACACGATCGTGTACCTCCAGGTTGCCATCATCTCGCAGGCGCTCATCTTCGTCACGCGTTCACACGGTTTCTTTTTCATGGAGCGTCCATCTGTCGCTTTGATGCTCGCGTTCGTCATCGCACAGGTTGTCTCGTCTATCATTGCTGCGTACGCCGACTGGGGCTTCACCGACATCCACAGTATTTCCGGTGGTTGGATCGGTATCGTCTGGGTCTGGAACATTATCTGGTTCATTCCGCTCGATTGGATCAAGTTTGCGATGAAGGCTACTGTGATTAGGTATCTCCGCGAACGTCACGAAGCTGCTGCTCGTAAGGAGGCTAGGGAAACGAGCGAGGCCGGAGGTGTTCCGCTTACACGCACGCAATCCCGTGCTGCTTCGATCCACGAGAGTCTATACTCGAACCGTGTTGGTTTCATTCGCCGTGCTGCGCGCCGTGTTGGCTTGGGCGGCAGAATTCACGTCAAGCCAGACGAACTCCGTCGCTTCAGTTCCATCCAGGCCGCACAGACTGGTCAGACCCTTGCGCGCCATCCTTCACGTCAGGCCGGTGTATAGGCTTCCGTTAATGGACATGGCGGGCGTAGATAGATTGGCCGTTCTTGCCTGCCGCGGCCCGAGAGAGATGATGACAAACCAAATAAAAGTCTGTTTCGCGAAATATGTTTCTAGACTTCGGCGACGACCTCCCTGCACACCATCAAACTTTTTCCCCTTCTCTTCTCCTACCTTGCATCTCTATCCTCCGTGTTCTCCTGTGTCCCTCCCTGATCTTCCTCTTTACCTCTATTCCCTGTTATTCTCCTACAACTCTGCCGCTCCCCAGCGGACCAGGTCAGACCACCCTCTCCTTTTTACCACCCACCCTTCATCATACCATGTTTTCTCCCTTTTTGTCGTCCTTTACCTCAACTTCTTTTCTGCTCTCTCACCTGACCTCTGTTGCGTCGCTGTCTACTGTTTCGTGTTTCGCTGTAATGATGCCTCCTGTGTGAATGCAATTAATCACTTTTTTTTTGTCTCTTAAGAGCTTGTTTTTGGCTTGCTTGTGCTTGTGCTTCACACTGACGACGTGCTATTGTGCAATGTGTTATATTCTTCGTTATTATGAACGTACATGATTAGCTTGGCTTGACTTGCATTGTGGTGATGTTCCAGAGAGATTACAATACATTGAGTGAGTGTGAGCATAAACAGGGTTACAAAATATCACTATAAACGGAGGAGTATGTATCTCCGCTTTTAACACTGCCGTAAAATAGCATTAATGTGAATAGCTCTCTGCCTTTTTCGAGGCTCCTTGAGACGATGCACCAGGGCCAAACTGTTTCCCCAATCTAACATTGTAACGAGTCGCCACCGCTAAACAACGATTTCCGTCTCGGATCTAATAGGCCTGGCAATGATCCTCGTCCCTTGTTGTCTATCCCTCGACGCATTCTTTTATATCTACCTCCGAGCAATCTATTTATCTTATTTCTTAATATAGGGATGGAGAGTGTCCTTCCACAGCTTAGTGGCGTAGAGCCATATAGACAGCTATATGCATTTGGAGAAGTTTCCGTACGCTTTCTGGTGCGGATTTGCGTACTCTGTGTAGTTAGTGGAAATGTCTATTGGGTTGTAGACGGGATTTTGGTCGTGATGTTGGAGGTTTAAGTGGTCTAAGTGCTTGTGTTCAAACATTGATGTCGGTAGACGCACGATCCATGCTAAACAGCAGATTAAGAAATAACATTTAAAAACTAGACAGGAGATACATATATCTCTATAACTCATCCTTTGTATGAGCGCCCTCATCTACCTTACTACCGTCTCCCTCTCCCACTCCGTCGCCTTCCCTATCTTCACCCCCGTTATCATCCGAGTTAGCATTAGCGTTCGTCGTCCCACCATTCGCACCAATGGAAGAAGCCAGTACATTCGAGTCTGCCGCAGCGATATGACTCCGAATTTTCCCCGCATCCGCCAGTGACCGTGCAAAACGTGCGATCTCCGCGTCATATTCTTCCCATTCTGGGATCTGGCGGGCGCGAGAGAGCTTGGGCTCTTTCTACATTAAGAAAACGAAGAAGGAGTGTTTCAAAAGTTAGAAGAGACCTCGAGCTGTTTTTTTGAAGACGTGAAACTAACTGTGAGTGGATTTTGACACAGATCGATGGTCTTTGCGCGATGTAAGCGATCTTTGCTGCCTGTATTAATGCATCAGCCAAATTCGGTAGTACGGATTACTGTGCGGCACGTACACCAGGTTTCGCACTATGAATATGAGTAAAGCATAATGAGAACATTAAATGATTCATTCAAACAGTCGTTTGCGTACCCAAAGCCAATCTTCATGCAAAGAGAACTGGACACGTTATCAGTACTTCTCAGAATCTGCTGGAAACGTTTCTGTGCTTACTATCGGCACTTCACGCTGTAAGTTGTTCGGAAGGTCTGAAAAATAAAGTTGAGTTCATCCACCTGATGTGGTATCTGTTTAGGTGACAAACCTTGATCCAGATTCGCCAAAGAATTCGGATCTTGTGAGAGCTGCTGGTATTGGCCTCGAAGAATATCCTATTGTTACATTGAGCTACAAATTCCTTTGCGCTGGACAATCCGACTTACCCCTGCAGCGATCTGTACAGATACAATACTTCAGAAGTGTGTCTGAGTTAACTAAAATAGTGTGCTCACCTGGCGGAATCGGGCCAAGTCCACAACATACAAAGCACTGTACCAATTCAATCAATGCCAAAGAAATAACATTTGTATAAGCTCCTACCTGATATGATACGGTCTCCCCTGCAGGAAATCCTTCCAATACCCAGTCTTCCAGAACCGGAATCCCTCCATCTCGACATTATCATCTCCCATCGGTGTATACCCATACGGCGCACCATGCAAATCCAAATCAACGAGTTCCTTCAAGTCCGCACGCACAATTTGGTCGGCATCGACGAAGATGACTTTCTTGAGGTCCATCGGGAAGAGCACGTCGAGGAAGAGAATCTTGTAAGCCCAGATGATCCGTTGTTTCTCCTTTTGCTGCCGCAGCCAGGATGGCCATTTGTATGTGACTAGCTCGTATTGGAAGTTATAGGCTTCTGCGAAGTGTGGCAGGAATTCCTGGATTAGGTAAGCACGAATCCTCAGTTACGGCAACAGCAGATTTATTGGAGTAAACTACTTACGAGGAAAGATGGCGATAAGAAATTCTCAATAAACCAGAACTTGACGGTGCTTTGAGTGTTCCTCAAGACGCTCAGGATCATGATAGATGCAAAACGCTAAGCAATATCTGATGAGCCGAAAAAATATAGTCAATGGTCCAAGCACTGCATACCTCGTACAAAAGTCCGGACGCAACAGTAAATATGTTGATGTCTGCCTGAGTAGGTGCGATAGTCTCAACAATTGGACCCTTCGGACGGAAGAAAGACACAACGCTACGCCAAACTCGATATTAGGTATGTTTTTCATTTCGCGACAGCTGTCCGTACGTACCGTGACGCGATATCAGAAAACAGTCCCTTGCCACCCTCCTCACCCATGACGAACTCATCGAGAACATCAGCGTTCTCCATACCGGGCCGTCTCCTCACCCGAGGATACAAAGTCAATCCCTCAAAGCTCGTAAGAGTGATCTCGTTCCCAGCGACAGAAACATTCGGACTATTCCAGCCTTCATTTCCAGCACTCTCCAACTCGTACACATCACGTCCGCGTCCCTCCCGAATATCCAGCTGGAAAACACCAGGCTTCGCCTTAAACTGGAGGTATCCCATGTTCAGCACCACTTGCGTATCAGCTACAGGCGATCCATCCAAAGAAGTTAACTGCATTTGCAGACCACGCGGTGGCATAACCGTGAGTCCTTCGCGCGCATGGCCTTCGATGACGATGTAATCGAGTTCGAAGATCGCTGAGAGGCCGTGCTCGCGGTCTTCAGGTGAAAGAGTAGATAATTGGATGTTGTCAAGGTCGTAGAATGCCTCTCGGGGTCGGACTAGCCATGCCGGTGGTACGTCCATAGCTAGGGTATAGAGGGGTTCAATTGGTAGATTGTCCATCACTGTCTCTGCTTCGACTTCAGCACTGTCGAATGCGCTAAGGGTAAGCATGGGCAGACGGTGACATTAATGACCTACCCGTTTTCATCGAAAGAAAGCCGTGAAGGGAGATTGAAGCGATAGAAACGTTTGAGAGGAACCTAACTATGCTTTAGTACGCTATCATAACACCAAGGATATGAGCATACCTCATTGTAAACACCCGGATTTAAGTATACCTGAATATATACGGAGGGAATAGCAGAAAGCCACTGGGTCAAATTTACACATCAGCTTCATCATAATCATCACCGTAGTCGCCGTGTACGAACCTCAAGGAAGACAGACCACTTCTGCGCGGCTTCACTCAGTGGATCCACCAGGACACCGAATTGATATGCAGCGGTCTCAGGGTCACCAAAGGAGAACGAACTATCGTACTGGGAGTCAGCTTTGTGAGAGCGGGTAAATAGCGAATAACATACGTGTAATTGCCCGCCAAGTGTCGATAATTTCGCTGTCTCGGACGTAAGTTACCATTGAACAAGCCTTGCTCGCTTGGATCAGATAGCTGAACGGCAGAAATGACCGACGATGCCATCGAGACCAAATGTCCATACTCAATCCTATGTAACACTCAGGATGGAAATAGGTGCTAGGAAGTGGAACGACCAACCTATTACGACCTTCTGATGTTATCGTAAGATTGGTCAACGCTTCGATGACAGGCTTGGTCCGTTTGCGTAGCTCATAATTTTCGAGTGTCGTGAAATCTGCTGCGGTAAAGTCGAATGGCTCAACAGGCCCAATGATCTAAAAACAGAAGGAGGTCGTTAATGCAAAACAATCCATCCGCGCGAGATACCAAAGCGTACTCTTCCATTAACCACAATACTCAACTCTCCAAGCCCAATTCCCAACTCCCTTACAAGCAGCCCGCTAGCCACAGTATATCGTTCGTGCGCTTCAGCGTCGCTCAACCCGTCCATCGAAACACCAACATCACGAAGTAACTGATAGACTACAGAGTTTTCAGATAACACGAGCTGGTCAGTTGACGATCCCGAATTGCCAGAGCTGAAACTGGATGTTTCGGGGCTTAAGAGCACGTCAAATTCTTTCAGCGAGATCTTCGAAAGGAGGTCGTGTGCGATTAGATGGGAGATAATAGGCGAGATATGGCGTTGAGGATTATGTGTGGTCGTGGTGTCGAGACTAGGGTTATGAACAAATGACAACCGAGTGACTGTGCCGGAGGACTCCTAAAAACAAAGTAAGGTGTAAACACAACTCGTTTACACAGTTGGTTCAGCACCGACTTACCAAAGAACGTAAAGCTTCTCGCATCAGCGCTATGCCACCCTCACTATCCAAGTCAGCAACAATAAACGTAGTCTCAAGGACCTCCTCGGATTCTTCATAACGTCCAGCCCTCAGTCAGTCGTTATCACCACTTATAAACCTTGCAAGTTGTACGTACCCGGATACAAATACGCCCCAGATCCCGGAGCAAACCCACTCTTCTCGAACATCTCAGGAACGTTCACAATTCGCAGGCCACTAACAGATCCTAGAGGTCCCGGTTTCGAAGATGTAGAAGGGAATATATAGCGGTTCCGTCGAAGATCCGTACTAGGAAGGTCATAGAAGTATGTATCGATAGTATCTGCGTTCTCATCGCTGATTTCCGCCATGTAGACCTAGCAGTAAATGTTGTCAAATGTGCTGTCTAATACATAGACCGTTTGTAAACTGCATCTTCTCACCTTTTCCTGCAAGAACTGTATCTGCATAGACATTTCGTTTTGCAGTTGCTTTAGGAACGTCTATCATAATTCACATTAAGCATGGCAATTACTCCGCGGACGAGGAAGGTAAGATATGTACTGACATCATCAAGGTCGAAATGCTTCCCGTTCACAAAAGCATGACCACTCGGACAAGACGCAGGGGTTGCGTCCAACCGTTGAGCATACAGATGAGCTCTCTCAATCTGTTCGCCTATCGTCGGTTTGGTGATTTCAATTTGAGCCTCGGTCTCGGCTTCGGCTCTGCTTTCGCTTTCACTTTCATCCTCGGACTTGGGTTCTTCGTACGATCCATCGAGAATAGAATCAAAATCCACCACAGGCACACGTTTCTCCTCGTCCTCGAGTAGAGCATTTTCACGCTGTAGCTCCGCGAACTCGCGCCTCACGAGATCCCAGTCTACTTCGGGGTTGAGGAATTGAGGAGGCACGTTGATTTGTCCTACCTATAACGATATCAGGATTAGTGAAAATAATCCTCTATGATGTGGCATAGAGACATACGCGAGACAAGAAACCCATAGTCTTCGCTCGGCCGAACGAGTTTATCAAGTAATAAAACAGTCTAGCCATTTTCTTCCCCTCCTCAGTCTCCGCACTAGGGACAACACCAAATCGAATAGGGAAGTTTCTACTGATGATATTGCTCACTGGGCCAGCGATGAAGTTCAAACTACTCATTTGCGAGAGGTCGGCTACGAGGACGACGTTTATTAGGTTTTGCCTGACGTTGTGGAATTGACCCGGGTACAGTTGGCGAAGAAGCTATTCGTAAGCAGTTAGTCGAAATTATGTTATTAAGATGTACAAGTAAAGAGCGGATTCACTCACTCCTGTAAGAGACGGATTCCACTTCGCGTATCTCGAATCCTTCGTCAAATCATTCCACCAGACAATCGCATCTCCACCCTCAGGTCTATCACTCGCATCGAACAACGCATCGAGCACTTCCGCGCTCTCACTTTGAGCGAGTCCGATAGCTTTATGTGTCAAGAGATCTACAGCTTGACCCGAAGATAGGCCTAACGACGTTAACGATTGTACAACCCCGCGTTCCTTTCGTAAAATCCTGAGCAGTCCGAGCGGAGTCAAGTCTGTTTCTTGTACTGTAATCCCGTTTAACCACATCATGTTCACACCTCCTGCAGCTTTCATCCGGTTATCCAGTACTTCGGCGACTAGACTGTTGTTGAGGATGATGCGTTGTGAGAGCCCCGACGCATATTTTGGGAAGTTTTGAGATAGATGTTTGAGTGTTGTTAGTGGGTCCGACGAGTTGGCAACGAGCTGAGTGGCCTTGATGGAAATAACTGTGTGGCATGTCAGTAGGAAACCATAAACATTGCACCAATTAGGTACTGACTTCGCAGCTCCTCTTCTGACAAAGAACTCGATGCGTCGGTAACGCTACTCTCGGGGTATTGATCCAATAGAGTCTTTATTAAATCGATTTCTTCGTCTTGAACCTCGGTGGAAGCATCTCCATCCAAGGGATCTATCGCCAGACTCTTCAGTACAATTCCTAAACCAAAGATCCAATTCACACCGACCTCTAGACGCGGACCGTCTATCATCCACAGCCAAATAATCCGTCTTCTTCAAATCCAGCGCAACTCCGTACCCAGAGAGGTAGCTCTTCCCGATAGATTCATCTCCATCTGGTAACGTAGGTATATGCCGGAAAACATACTCCACTCTCGGTTTCGGCGTACTAGCGAGTTTATACAAATACGAATGCAATTCCCGGAAATTCCGAGAAGTCGGGGAAGCGTAGAAGATCGCTGTCCGAGGTGGAGGCTCGAGTGAGCGAGATGGGTCGGGGAGGATGTGGTCGAAGGGGAGGAGTTTTGGTCGGATATAAGTCCTTTTCAAATTTTATAGGATCAGAAAATACTTGGACACAGGGGAACAGTATAAGAAATATGATTTGAAACGTACGTATTCGTAATCTGCTCATCCGCATCAATCATCTCATGTCCCGCAAACCGTACAAGCGTATCTAAATCGCACACTCGTTCTCCATACCATTCAACCCACGAGCCACACTCTTCACCCAATGTCGGGTACTTTTGGTCAACGTAGAACTGGTAAAATGCCTGCACCTTCGGCGCAGCAGCATGCAATGCAATCTGCAGCTCAACGCTCGCATACGACTCCGGATCCTGTAAATAACCCAGCAAAGTAGCAGTTTTCAAGGTCGCTTGATGTATAGCTTCCGGAGATAAAGTGTCTAATGATGGCAGGGAATCCGAATTCACGAGTGCATCTAGTAAGGGGAAGAAAGCTCCTGGTTCTTCTGTTGACACTGACTCTCTAGGAAAAATATCCAGTTTTAATCAGCCTGTATTACTTATATTTTAACGAAGAAGTATGTACATACATTGCTTCAAGCAACAACGGTACCGCCGGCCAAGAGGTATGTAAACTAACGCGTACTGGAGGTGACGCGCCAGCAGCAATACTGGCAACACAACTACTGGCAAGGCCAAGACAAGCGCATCTGGCCCACGCCTTGCCTCTACTTTTGAGAGACCTCATGATTGCGAGGAAAACAAGACACAAGACGCTCTAAGACAGTGTTAAATCAAAGCATAAGTGCTAAGTAGGAGCGGAGAAAGAGAGTTGACGTGTCCGAGACGTGGCAACGCTGATACAGTCAGCGCGACCGCGTTTTTTGATTCAACACGCTTGATCGACGTGTGCCTGAGTGCATTTATTCAGATTTCGGGTTGGGTAGGAGTAGACTAATATTTACAGAAGCACGTATCTTTTCTTGACCACCTCTCAATTCCTTAGGACAAGTATATTGATATTATCATCATGGATTGCAAGGAGGCCTTCACCAAGATAAGTCATGTAGTAATCTAGATACCTCATTAAATTTTGTCGTCAAGTGCAAAGGTGAATCAATAGGTGTGGTCAAACCTTGCGATTCTCTGTGCGATTCACCTTGCGATTCTAGAGGGTGAATCGCAAGGTGAATCGCGTGTGCAGGTTTGACCAGCACACTTGTACATATGTGATTCACCTCAATATACCGACCCTTGATCTTAAAATTACATAATATAAAATTAAAGAAATAGTTTTTTTTGTGCATATACATTTGGCCATGTCAAGAAGGACTTGATATGTGTGCAGTAATGTGTAAGAAGACGACAGAGCTTGGTAGCAGAGAACACAAGGATTTTTTGCAGAACAGAGGACAGTATGTATGCTGTAGTGCTCACAAGGAAGAGGCAAATCATCTTATTGTTTTTGGATTTTAGAGGTGAAAAGAAGCTTAGTTTTATTTTTGTAATACATGTACATATTTGGAAATAGATATGAGTAGAGGTGAATCGCGGGGGTGAATCGCAAGGCGAATCGCGTCAAAGTGCGATTCACCTTTCAGCGCGATTCACCCCGAATCGCTGGGGTTCCGGGGTCCGCGATTCACTTTGCATGAAAGTGAATCGCGCAGGTGAATCGCGCACTGAATCGCGAGGTTTGACCACGCCTAATGTTACAGATGCAGGTTATGGTTCGCTGTTCTTTAAGAAATTATGTAAGCTGGTTTCATGTACAGAGAATCCTCTACTTGATCATTCTCTGGTCAGTTTTCTCATTGGAAAGGATTTTGTGTAGGGTACGGCCATATCTGTCCCATTCCCAAATGCTACCAGGCTTAAGCAAAAACCATCTCCGTCCGTAGCAATTATCGACAATGGCACAATACTGGATGGGCAACCGTAATAACAACCTCGCATTTCGGAATCCAGTATGTTAATTACACTGCCCTCGAGAGAGGTACTTCAAACGCTCTGTACTTGCTTTAAGTGAATCCGCACGCAACAGCTTCGTTAATCAGGTCACTTACCTCTCAATCATTTCTTTCTTAAAAGCGGAGTTCTATATATCACATGAAAGGTAAGGTTGAGGATTCCGACTGACAAATAAGCGACTGCATTTAGGACGCAATGACTATGTAGTGTCTTGTTGATAGAAAAGTTGTAGTGAGTACTGAGCCTGAGAACAGCTCGTCTCTCCTTTTCTCTACAACTGTGCTACATATATCATTCTTATTTTATTTTATTTTAAAATTCATATTCCTTCATACCGACAAAAGATCCATCTACGCGTCTCTTTTTGTTATTCTCTTAATATAGCGCATGCTCATCACTAAAGCTTGGACGTTCTCGATCGGAGTTTATTTGTGCAACTGCAGCAATTCCGCATTGAACACAATACAGCTTTATATAAAAGATTCTAGCAGATACATGTGGAGCGTACTATAACATTACTCAAGCACCTATATGCACAAAGTTAACCCATCGCTCAGTCGGAATCTCCTCCTTCATCCTTAACTCCAACGCCGCTATCCTAAGTCCTGCAGCCGCCCTTTTATATCTCATTTTACCATCCTCACATTCGTTCATGTGTTCATACACTGCCTTTGCAACGCAAGGCCCATCGTCATCGTATAACTCCCACATCGTCCCGATCACACTTCGGAACCCACTGAACTGCATAGCTGCTGAGAGGTGCAGTGCCTCGTCATGTGCACCAGAATGGGACAGCTCGGCAGTATGGCAGGCAGATAGGAATGCAAACTCAGCATTTGGGACGTTGGCCTGGATGATGTCGAGCAACATCAATCCGCGATCGGTAAGCTTGAACGATGAGTCAAAAGGCTGCGAGCCCAAGTGGCCGTGGCAGGCGAAATGAATCCACGTCGCTTTCTGGAGACTTTCCATCACTGTGCGTCGAGATGCCCCGCGGTTGAGGAGTATCGTGCGCTCAGATATGCTTTCACAAGTACTGTCCCGGATATTCTGAATTTCCTTTCGAGTTGATTTTAGGGTCTTGGTATCTCCGATAATGAGTAATTTCGGTTCACCCGCGTTGCCATTAGATCGGGCACTAATCAACGCGCCGAGCGTGGGAGTATACGACGAGATATAATCGTCCAATAAGTATTTTGTAGTACCATCCGTGTCACTGAATGGACCTACTGCATGGAACGGAAGTGCAGATAATATCGATGTAGGACACCACCAGATACGAGAGTCTTTTGCGACACCAACTTCTGTAAGCTTATTAATGACCTTACAAACGACTCTATGCCATAACATTTTTATCGATCGGCGAAGTTTCTCGTCATAACGAGGTGAAGCAGCTCCACGACGTTGACGAGATTTCAAAAGCCTTTTGCAGAGCCTCTTACTATCCCCATAGAACGCACTGTCTAGCGGAACACATACAACTGGTAAGTCATTCCGAGCGAGGATAATGAGCGCGTCGGATCGATATTCGGAATGGTTGACCATAATGACTGGGCCCTCTGAGGCTGCCTGTTGAAGTACCTCAAATGGTGTGGCATCAAGGAAATTTTCGAACCCAGGAACTCGTCGAATCTCGTCAATAATCCCCTCTTGCTCATTCGAAAATTGCTTCTTCAATTTCAAATGCTCGTCAAATGATTTCCGCCCTCGTTCGCTGTCAAGTTCAAGCAGTCCACTTCCATTCATGGTTGAGCTGGGCATCGATGCTCCATGCGACGTTGCGAGTTTCTCCAGTCGACGACTGACATTCCTGAATCTATCGACAAGCTCCTCGTTCGTTTCGACAAGCTGATCCAACGGAGACCTAAGACCGCGCAATTGCGACCAAAGCAAGCCCCTCCCTTGCTCCAGAATCTCTACAGCTTGTTGTAATTGATTTTTCTCCACGGCATAGGAAGCGGCGTCCAATGTGAGTACTCTATGGTCACTATTCCTGAGAAGGAAATCATGCTGAGCACTGAGAGTTGGATCTATGGTGAGAGCGTGTTGAAGTATTGATATTGTTGTCTTGTAAGCTGTGAAGGCAGTGTGGTGGTTGTGCGATCGTGCAAGAATTGCCCAACGTCGCGCAGCATCAAGACGACGTAACAATCCTGAGAATCTATGAGTAGCAGCGAGCTCCAGTAAGTGCATACACTCCTCGAACTGTTCCAAGTGCCATCGTTTCTCAATCTGAGCATATAAAGAAACCGCGAGGTTCCACAGTGACAAGGAATGACCCGGATGGCCTTCCGGGAGAAGCTCGAGGACAGCTCGTTCCAATCCGATGGCCTCCTCCAGGTCCTCAGTCCTTCCATGCTGATTGTACCGAGTGACCAGAGATACTGCAAGGTTGATGAGGGACATGAAGCGACCTGGATGGCCTTTGGGGAGAAGCTTGAGAGCGGATCTGTCCAGCTTGATGGCCTCCTCCAGGTCCTCGGACCCTCCATGTTGCTCGAACCGACCCTTCAGAGAGTGTGCAAGGTTTCTGAGAGACACATAACGATCTGGATGGCCGTCGGAGCGAAGATCGAGGGCAGCTCGTTCCAGCTTGATGGCCTCCTCCAGGTCCTCGAACCTTCTGTGCTTGTAGTACCGAGTGCACAGAGAGGCTGCAAGATTGCTGAGGGACGTGGAGCGATTAGGATCGCCTTCCGGGTGAAGCTCGAGGGCAGCTCGATCCAACTCGATGGCCTCCTCCAGGTCCTCGAACCTTCCATGCTGGTCGCACCGAGTGCTCAGAGAGGTTGCAAGGTTGCTGAGAGACGTAGAGCGATTCGGATGACCTTCTGGGCGAAGCTCGAGGGCGGCCCGATTCAACTCAATGGCCTCCTCCAGGTCCTCGGTCCTTCCATGCTGGTTATAACGAGTGCTCAGAGAGAGTGCAAGGTTGTCAAGAGACATAGAACGATAAGGATGGCCCTCGGGGCGAAGCTCAAGGGCGGCTCGATGCAACTTGAGTGCCTCCTCCAGGTCCTCGGATTTGCCATGCTGTCTGAACCGAGTGCTCAGAGAGCTTGCAAGGTTATTGAGAGATGCGGAGCGATCAGGATGGCCCTCGGTCCGAAGCTCGAGGGCGGCTCGTTCCAACTCGATGGACTCCTCCAGGTCCTCGATCCTTCCATTCTCATAGTATCGAATGCTCAGAGAGCCTGCAAGGTTGATAAGAAATGCAGAGCGATCAGGATGGTCTTCGGGGAGAAGCTCGACGGCGGCTCGACGCAACTCGAGTGCTTCCTCTCGGTCCTCAGTCCTTCCATACTGGTAGTACCGAGCATTCAGAGAGATCGCAAGATTGCCGAGAGACGTAAAACGGTGAGGATGGCCTTCGTTGCAAAGCTCAAGGGCGGCTCGTTCCAATTTGATGGCTTCCTCCAGGTTATCTGACCTTCCATGATGATTGAACCGAGTGTTCAGAGAGTTTGCAAGGTTGATGAGAGACATGGAGCGATCAGGATGGCCTTTGGGGCGAAGCTCGAGGCCAGCTCTATGCAACTTGAGTGCCTCCTCCAGATCCTCGGATCTTCCATGCTGGTTGTACCGAGTGCTGAGAGAGATTGCAAGGTCGTCGAGTGACGCAGAGCGATCAGGATGGCTTTCGGGCCGAAGCTCAAGAGCAGCTCTCTTCAGCTTGATGACCTCCTCCAGGTCCTCGGACCTTCCATGCCGTTTGTACCGAGTGCTCAGAGAGCTTGAAAGGTTGTCGAGGGACATGGAGCGATTAGGATGGCCTTGGGGGCGAAGTTCGAGGGCGGCTCGTTCCAACTCGATGGCCTCCTCCAGGTCCTCAGTCCTTCCATACTGATTGTACCGAGCGCCCAGAGATACTGCAAGGTTGATGAGGGACATAGAGCGGTCAGGGTGGCCTCTGGCTCGAGGCTCCAGAGCGGCTCGTTCCAAATCGATGGTTTCTTCCAGATCTTCCGACTGACCCCACCTCTCGAATCGCATAAAAAGAGACATTGCAAGGTTACACAACGACTTCCAACGATCTGTATGTCCTTCGGGACGAAGATTGAGAGCGGTACGATTGAAGATGATGGACTCTTCGAGCGCTTTCCGTTCTCCCAATTGCTCGAAGCGTTCCGCATATTGGAGGGCAAGATTGTGATGTGTCCAAGGATCATGCAGAGCAATAGCGACTTCGAGAGAAACCCGACTCGCAATAGCACCTATGTCCATCTTTTTGGTGATCTACCTTAGTTTCATTTTGATCAGAATGCAATCCTTGCAGCAAAAAGGAATACGCTAACAGAGAGGCCCTACCTGGAGTGCTAATATTGACTCGTATTTGCGCTTCTACCTACACACGACAGATTATCGGACGACTCGAAGGGGGAGTTTTCGCTAGTGAACCTTCGAGTCTCAACCAGTGATACGTGAAGAGGTTGACTTCTGGGGTATATCACAGAACGAGTGGGCGGATTTTTCGACAGCCAGACTGCGAACTGTGTCCCAGGTGCGAGGCGTGGTGGTAAAGGGTAAAGGGTAGGCGCTTGCTCCCTGCACTCGTCATGCTGAAAACACGATAGCAGTGTGATAGTGTTTGATACAAGAATATTAATAGAATAGACTCTTACTTTCTACATTTCAAAAAAGGACAACGATTGGATCACGTGAGGATTCAGAGGAATTGTCTCGTTCTTTTTGAATGAATTTGAGCAACAGAGACGTCAATACTTTATTTGGCTCCTTCAAACAGCCATAAATCCAAATCCTCATTACAAAGTCTTGTAACATGTCCTGAAACTAGGTCTGAATCAGCCCTTTCCCATAATATGGAACACAACTGAAGAGGTATTCTGAAATGGAGTCTACTATGTATAACTCAATAGCCTCATCCGAGTTGAAACTCTACAAATCAGAGAGTAACTCCAGTACTTCTCTAACACAATCTAGTACAATAGCACTATCAAGCCTCAACGTTTTCTCTATTTGTCCATTCCGTTTGAATCAAGCATGTAGAGAGTTCGACGACACGCGCCTGGATGTACATTCTAAGCACACGAGTAACAGACTTTGGCTAAGGATAATGCTACTATATATTCTCTATCTATGAATGCACGCGACAGCAGAATTTTTCAACACATCGGTGATGACAAACACCCCAAGCCCAACCCAACGAATAAAATAAAATAGAGAAGGAGCAGGAAAAGAGGGAGAAACGAGCGTGTAATGGAAACCCAACAAGGTCCAAACAAAAGACCAAATGACAAATGTGAAACACCGAAGAGGAAAAACGAATGTGGTAAGCCAACACCTATGGGCGGGCAAAGTTACAGATTTGCGCGAGGGGGTGGGGTTGGGGAGCCGATGTACAGACGGATGGTTGAATGGTTGAGGGATCGATTGAATAAAAGTGGGAATGAAATCGAAAAAAATGGCACAGTTTGATATGTTATAATGAGCGTGTGCGATGTATGTATTGTGGTACATGGAGGACCTCGAGAAGGAGAAGATGACGACAATGCAGGAGCCACAAAAATAAGCGATGAATAGGGTAAATAAAATAAAATGGTATTGCAACGAAACCAATGAAGATAAAGTAACGAAAATATGATTGACGAATGATGAATGATGAGTGACGAAAAAAACGAGAATGAAAATGCGGACGACAAAAAAGTGAAAGATGAGACACGTATTATTCGGCTTTGAATCTCGACCCTCCACCTCCTCCACGCATCACAGCTTTCATGAACGAGAAAAATCGGTCTGCGTATTCGGTAGGAGGGACAGGACTGATTTTATGCTACAAGAATAGGCAAGAGTAGATTAGACTTAATCAACGTCTAAACACCGAACAAGAGCTCACAATATCAGCGGAAAGCCCTTTCCAAAGATGTTCCGCGCGCTTCAGCGTGGTATACGGCGTAAGGATATCAATAACACCAAGATAGTAAATCGTATCCATCGGTTGATTTTGTTCGTCTGTGGCTTGTAATCCTCCATCGTCCTGATAGAAGAGGAACTGTTGACGGTCGCCAGTATCTTCTTCAGGAAGATTCAAAGCCTGCGACGACCCTAACCCCTCAGGCGCCGATATTCGCATTGCTTTTCGCATCGCAACTACCTCAGGAGAGTGCCCTTTTAATGCCGTCGGTTTGCGCTTGACTACGGGCATGACTGGTGGCTAAATTGTCCGACGCAGAGTTAGAATTTAATGTATTACGGACAACATCCAATATCTGCGCAAAATCACTTACCGAGAAAACTTTAAGCGTCTTCTTCCGTACCATGTCTCTATTCCCCCTCTGCATATTATGTATACCCACTAATAAACTGTAATCCATCACGTTTAGGCTCTTCAACAACTCCGAATCCCGCCTTAGTTGTTCGGTAATAAGCGCCCGCTTCTCCGGACCCAATTCTAATGATTTCCCTCTCTTGATCCAATTCAAATCCTTCAACACCGCCCTTGGGTTCTTCGCAGCCTTCTCCTCGGGATACTCGCGCCCAATAGTTGAGCCCTTCAAGTCATATGTCTCGTGGATATCCTTATGTGGCGGAAAGAGATTATTCATGATTACGAAATGAATCTTCCGCCCATGAGGCAACTTGACACGATGAAGACCGTAGAACCGCGAGAGAAGAGTATGCGGATTACGCTGCACGTGTTGGTAGTACTGCTTCAGAATCTTGCGCAGGAACTTATGTTCCGTGTGGTGAATGGTTTTGATGATGAATCGATAATCACGGGAGAAGTAAAAGAAGGATCCTGATTTCCCGGGTGAACCGAGCTCTGAGAGGATGTACTTGGCAGTAAGTGAGAGGAGGTAGTCGGCAGGATCAAGGCCGAAGTACTCTTCCCGTAGTTCGCGGAATACCCAAGGCGCATAATCCTTGAATTTGAAGTCGTACTTTGCTGATGGAGTAAGCTCGTTTCCAACACTAAACGAAAACTATTAATAATGTACAAGCAACCAAAGTACAAAGCACTTACATATCAAATGAGTATTTATGTCGTGCTGAAAAGTCCTCATCCGTGAGCGGTTTTTTGATCTTGGCTTGACACCGAGACACCTTTGACACCTAGGTCAAAGCCAGCACAAACAATACTCCAAAAAACAACACTCACAGCTATCCGAATGCCAGTTAGCATGTTGTACATCAATACGTAGTTCACATGTCCTTCGCCAATCAAATTCCCCACTAAAACCTGTTTCTCGTCCTTGGCCGCTGCCTTGGTGAGCGCTGCCATTTCCGCCTCCTGTTGTTCCTGTTGTCTTCGCTTGGCAGTACGTTCACGTCGGATCTGATCCGCTTGAATAAGGATATCTGAGTCTAATTCGCCAAACCCAAGAGTGCCATCAGGCTTGGGCGTAAGCCCAAGCATCTGGGCATGTGCCGCCGAGTGCGCCGCGGTGTATGCATCGGTGTCATCGAATGCCATTCCGCGATGGTGAGGAAGGTGTCCATAGTGCTGCCCATACAATGCTGCATGTGACGGTCGGGAAGACAAACTAGTTGTCGCAGAGCCCGTCGTATTCCGACGCGCTGGTCGATGGACACCTAAGGGAGGAGGTTGAAGATGACCGTCGATGCTGACGTGAGAACTTTTAGAAGCATGTGCGAGAACGGGACCACCGGACGTAGAGCCCGATGACGGTCGCTCAGACGTCAAAGGCGTGCTAGGCTCATCACCATACGTGTTGCGCGTGGACGGAGCTGTCGTAGATATCGATCCGGGCACTGAGACGGTACGCGAGGAGAAGCGCGTCTCGGTAGAGGAGCGTTGCCGGAGCGCATCATTTGATGTGCCTGACGTCGACGCGTCTAAGGAACGCTTCCGCGGCGAGCGCGTTGTCGTCGAACTCGCTGTCTGCGCTGGCTCCGAGCGAGACAGGCCAAGCTTGGGCGAAGGAGATCGCTCCGTGAAGGGCATCTCCTCATCGCGTTCGACACTTGGAGGAGGTGAAGGTGGTGGCGGTCCGGCAGCAATACCTGTCGGCTCGGTGGTGATCACCCGTGCAATGTTCTTCCCCGTTCGAGATAAGCATCCCTCTGGCGGTGGCCCAGTATGTAGCTCAACAGCATCTCCATCCATTTTGACGACGTGCATCTCCTGGCTGCCTTGTGGTAGTAAGTGGATTGGGTTGACATCAGGTGCATCGCCTTTCTTCCCCGCAGCACCTATCGTGTGAACGGAAGCCATCGAGTTCGCCGACGAGTGGGATGTCGAGTGGTCGGAGAGAGCAGTGTGAAATGAGCCCACAGAACCAGAGATGACCGACGTTCTGCGAGAGTCAATAATCTCTGGCAAGGGTGAGGCTCGTGAAGGACCTGCCACAGCTGCGGCCATGCAACAGGAATGCTGTTACTTGAGTATTAATGAATTACAGATAAGATATAGCGGCGAATCTGCTAGTCGAGCGGATATGAAGATGATGATAGTTTGGGGAGATGCCTGAAGAGGAGGCGAGTGCAGACAGGAGATATATAATTTGTGACGGCAGTGGAGGCGGTGTCAATTACCGCACCAACAAACCAGCACTTTTGTTTAAGGATCCACAACAAATGCAGCCCGTCTTCTATTCCCGACACCAGCTCCAATATTAGTGTAGTGTAATAGATCTATGACCGCGAGGCTTGATGGATGCCGAAGTGCTGCTGGTCGGCGTGGTGAGAGTTGAGTAGATGCCGGAGTCAAATGGCAATGGGAAGAGGATGTGCAAAGAAAATCACATTGCCGCGAGCCAGTTGTGCCGGCCCTAAACCCCGGTCTAGACGCATGACCCAAGTCGGGTTCATGATGTCTCAATTTATTTGTTCGTACACTTTTTTCTGAACCCCACTCCACAGTCAAGTTAACGTCCATTTTGTCAATGTCAAAATTATGGTACGTGTATAGCATTACATATGTATGACAATAAGTCGAATCTTGTGAGTATGTCTTGCGGCGGAAAATCTAATCTACAGATGTGCGACAAATTTACGAAGGGACAGAGAAAATGAACAGATTGAAACTAACTATTAAATCCTCCCTTTAAAGATAATACGGTATACCATAGACAACGACCGCCGCCCCAGTCAAATATTTCAACTTACACATATCCCTACTCTGCGCAACAGCAGCCACAACAGACATCATCTTCCCATTCTGTCCTCCACGCTCTCCCTCTTTCCAGGCTTTAACTCCTGAAGGATCCAGCCTTAGCTTATTAAACACCGACTGCGCAAACTTATCAATATCACGATCCGTCACATCCCACAGGTTCGCAACCAACGAAGGACACCCAGCCAACATATAGTTATTCGGCGTCCCTATACGATCGAATTCACCCATGTCGTGCAACGCACCAGACGAACAACCCCAAAGCATCGTAGCTGCACAACGCTGGAGATGTCTTATTTTGTGAGAACGCGCGTATTGTTCTGCACCACCGTGTCCGAAATATCTAAGAGCAAGCCATATGTTAGCCTTCGACGATTATTGAGTCAGTTGTAACGTGTACTCACACAACTAAGTCCTTCCGAGACAGTGCATTAAGAAATTGCTGTTCACTGGGTATCTGTCCAATGATACCATCCCAGCCGACTTTCCGAAGGTCTTTCGCCCACGACCTAAAGCGCCCTTCAGTCCCAGCGAGATCACCACTAGGGTTGAGCACATAGTAGCCTTTCGACGGGTTGACTTGTATCCGGTCGATCTTTTCATCTTCTTCATCGTCAGAGTTTTCCGAAGAGTCCAAGGGCAGTCCGCGTTGGCTCCTAGCAAGTGCCAGCCTATCCAATATAAATGCAACGCTGGGCACGCGGCTCACATTACGCCCCCGTAAGACCGGTATTGACTCCCAAGGAATAGCTTGCAAGTTCTTGTCCAGTACAAGGAACGTGTGCGCGTCTTCTTCCGGGCTGACATACTTCCCATTTTTTGCATGGAACTCCTCGAGGGCGGAACGTAAATCAACAACAACGACATCCATGTCAATCTCCGCGAGGGCCACTGGCAAGCCATGAAAATGATAGAGATCAAGAACGAAGTATACCAAGTCCTGAAGTTCCTCGTCCTTGCACGTCGGTGGAAGTGCTGCGAAGAGCTCGAGTAGGCTCGTCTCGAGTCGTAATTTGGCTTTTTTACTCTTCTTTTCGTGCGAGCCTAGGATGCCTTTGAAGACCTTTTCTAGACGTGTCCGGAAACTAGTGATCGCATCAGGTGGTATACGCGTTGGTTGGCTCAAGATCGTCTACGCGCAAGGCTTAGGATAGGCTCGAAATTAGTGGACAAGGCAAATACTCACCTTGAAGGCACCAAGCCAACAAAACTCAATATTCTCAACAAAGTCCTTCATCCTCTGATCCAGCTCTCTTCGCGACTCCCACCAAGCTATTTTCGCCTCCTTATCATCCGACTTAATTTGCGTCACTCCTTTCACCCCTTCATCTTTCAATCTGATAATGTCTTTAAGCTCAGTCATAGCATCTTCGAATGTGAAATGCCCATCCTCATCATCCTCATGTCGACCTTTAAGCGGTACGCAGAACACCATCGGTTTATAATGGGGCCTCTGCCGAGAAATCAGAAGAGCTCCTTTGTCATCTGTAAGCGAGATTGTGATAACCATCCAGTTGCTTGGTAACGCATCGATGTCGGAGGTGGAGCATCCAGATTGTATGAATTCCGCAGACTTGTGCCTTTTCAGAACATAATCCCAATACTGCCGTAATCTGTTATCGTCAACTGATTCTTCATCGTCTTCGTCCGACAAATCATCGAATATTCCCCTGCCCTTGGGGTTTGCGCAGCGACGTCGAGATGTTGTCGGTGATTCAGAAGGCCAACGCATATCGTCCTGATTCATAGGATCGGGAAACTTGTAGGGGATCGCGTCAATCAGCTCTCTTCTGAGTGTGATTGAGGAAGCCATATCTAAGATTCAAATATTAAGTAAAAGACGCTTTAATGGCTCTGTTACGAAAGAAACTTGCCTAGAAGACGAGAAGCGAAGGCAGGACTGTCTTCAAAAGCGATGCCCAACGATGCTTCGTAGATACTAATCCGAGCTGCCGCGATCGCTGTTGCGCGCACGTCGTATACGAAGCCTCGTCCTGAGAACCGTGAAAGATCTGAGATATAATGTTCGTCTGCCTGTTGAAGGGCATCTACGATATCTTGAGGTGGTGCTTGAAGCAACGATTTCTCGCAAGTCATACCCATCGGTAACGCGATGGCTAGTTCCTGAATTAGACGTCGACTTTGGAAGAAAAAAGAACGTAAGACGAACTTGATTCTGCCAGCGAGCCTAGAGACATCTCGGCACGGAATCGTTCGTGGATATCATACAGCGCTAAACGACCAAGGAAGGGATTGACATGGACCTAATTCGATGTTTAAATGAAGGCTCAATCATAATGGAAGCAGACTTACTTCCACGTGGGCCAGTTGCGGAAGTGCATACAACTCTTCAAGAAGCTGTTCATATGTCTCTCCAATGGTATCGCGCAGCAACCAAACTAGACAAAAGAGGATCAATCATTAAGGGTAAAATAATAACTAAGTATCAAGGTACCTTGCTGTCTGAGGATTTTTGCTTGTAAAACCGGAGCAAAGATCTTCTCAGCATCTGATTTTGCGGTTCTCAGAGCGATCTCGTCGACGGCTTCAAATGTTTGTTTTGTTTCTGCCAGTAAATTTACTGCTTGAGTGAATTCACTGTCTGCGTCTGACTCCTTGGCGTGCAGAATCAGATGATCGCCGACAGCACGGTGCAAATCGACCTTCTCCAGGTCCGTCCGGTCTTCAAGTAAGTGTTTTGCTTCTTCAAACGACTTTTGAACATCATCTAAGCTTCCCATGGTTAATTGTAGTTCCGCTTTCTGGATAAGGGCTCGTGCCGTCATAGCAGAGCCGCCCAAAGTCCGCGCAAACTCTTCGGCCTGTTGCTCGAAATACTCAGATTCGCGCACTGAACCTCGTAAGGCATACGAATGAACCAAGGCAAGCTGAGTTTGCAGCAGTGCATTTGCTATGCGCCACTCTAGAGCGTCTAGTTGTACCTGCGGCTGTGGAAGTCTGACCGCAGTTAGCTTCTTGTCTTCTATGTTAACGGTGTCAGGCAATGCAGTTTTAACCTCCGACATTGCGAAAGGGTCCGATAAGTTATCGGGCTTTTGTGACGGATGTAGCCTCGCCAGTGTCTCCGTAGCTCTATTGAGCAGTCGAAGTGATTGCAAAAGAGACTTGAGAGAATTTTCAGGTTCATTCTGTCGGAAAGTCAGCATTTCGCAATCGGTAACAAACAGGACTCGAATGATCACCTTAGCTTCCAAGATGACCGCAAATACACTTGACGCCGCAGCAACTCGTTCTAACAAAACAGCTCGTGCACGTATGCGAGAAAGGGTTGAAACACCTCTTCCATCGTCCTCTGCTGGCAGGTCCATACATAACTGATGTGCTTTCTCATACATAGTTATGCTGGCGACATCGAAGGAACTAAGCATTTGAATATGTTTGCATATACGGGTAACGTACCTTTCAGGAATTTCTCCGCTGATGGCCAATACCTCTGCGTATCGGAGAAGTATGAGGACAGCAGATGGAATCGGTTTTGCTTCGCACAACTCCTCAGCGATGGGCGCGAGGATTTTTGATGCAAGAGTTAGCTTGCCGAGCCTCAATAAATCGTATGCTATCAGTGATGAGATAAAAAGGAAGCCTAACAAACAATCGATGTCAGCAACGTCAAGTGGGGGTGAGAAAATAGGCATACTTTCGCTAGTAGTCTCTCCAGCTTTTTCAAAAAGAAGACGCAAATAGCCTAATAATTGCAACCTCTCAAGAGTGAATCCAGTGATGTGTGACAATTCTGCGACCATTACTGTCCAAAATTGCATTAGTTCAGATCTTTTGAACGTATAGAGCATTCAGTCCAAAAATGAACAACATACTTATTAGTTCAGCGAGAGAGGTCCGTTCTGAAGCAGTCAGTTCATGCTTGGCATTATGAGGACTGGGTGATGTTCTTATAGCTGTGTCTGTGTAATATAATAAGACGAGAGGGACGAAGGATGCCACAGCATGCATACCATTGGCGTCATATGGTGTTTTTGGAGATCGACGCGCAGTGTTCGATCTCGTGCTTTGATTTGCGGCGGCTCCAGCATTACGCTGCGCAGTACTCGACTTTGATCTAGCTCGCACACGCGTAGCTGTTGTCTTTCGACTCCGATCCGCAGCTCTCTCCTTCGTGCTAGTTGTTCCAACAGGCTCAACAGTGAGTGTCTTCATAGCATCCAATGCGTTCTGCGCATGCCGAGTAACAGCTTCCGCGGATTCTCCTATTCGGTGTGCATGCAGAACAGCCCACAACGATATTTTGACTCGGTAATACCGTCGAAGATGGACGAACGCGCCGTCTTCGCCCACTTTCGCCTAAGCGCAGTTAGTCAGGTGAGTTCACCAGATGCACAAACAGCGAACATGCAGACCTTTTCTGAGAGCAACTTTTCTGTTCCCCGGATCATGTCCTGAATGCGAAGCCCATCCATGTCCGAATCTTTCTCCGAACCATAGTAAGAATGCTCTAGTACAAGTGCAAGGGTCTGTGTGCGACGCAAGGGAAATCGCACTGTGTCATAAACATCCAAGGCTTCGGCGAGAAAGTGGGTGACAGCTGCACGAACGAGGGGTTTTGAACGCTCTGGGAGTGAGCATGCTTGGCGAAGCAGTATAGATCCAAGGATAGAAGGCAGTACACCACTAGCACGCAGTGGTACCAGAAGGGACGCCTCGGCAGGAGCAAGTCGCAAATCGACGACTGCAAGATGTGTGAGACGGTCTACTGCGTTTGCAAGTGAAGGAGGTAGTTCGAAATCCCATGATGGGTCTTCGTTCTCGAAGGGATAGGTAACAACACCCTGCACAAATGCGTCAAATGCAAGTCTGCGGTCACCAGTCTTTGCGTAGCATACACCGAGCAACTCCCAGCGCCTATATACTTGAGTCCTATGGGTTGACCATGCACCTTGATCTTTTTCTGATCCAGCTGTAGTATCCACCGGACTGCTCTCGGAGAAATACTCGGTTGCACGCGATGAGAGTGGACACGCTTGTGTGAGGAAACGAATCGCAATGCCATGACGCTCTTCCTTGTACAATGAACCAGCAAGGTTTGCGAATGCACCTGAAAGGCACCGCAAGTAATTTGCAGCCGGTCGTTTATCTTTGGAAGCGTGTGGTAGAGTTCGCTCAGTTAGTTGTAAGCCGCGAATCAGGTAGTCGTATGCCGTGTCGCATGTCTCCGCTCGCCTACAATCGAAAACAGAAGTCGCAAGCTGAAAAAGAGTATCGAGCGAGGAGACAACCGCGTCTGTACGTTCGGCTCCTGTCGTCAAGACAACTGACATGTGTTCTAGAAAGGTGACGAAAGCGTCGATTAATCGAATGATACAGCCTCTCTCAGACGCGCCGGATTCGGGTCGAGACAACGTTTTCAGGCAAGCTCTACGGCATCTCTCGACTACTCGCAGCAATTTGCCATCTCGTATTGCATCGGTTGGTTGCGATTGGACAGTACGGAGGTCGGAAATTGCTCCGTCGGTCATAGTAGAAAGCCGCTGTTCATCGATGTCTCCATTTTGATCCAGAAGTGCCGCCACCTTCGTCAGAGTTGCGCAAGCCCGAGTGATCGAGTGAGACGTATCACTTGATGAGGAGGCAGCGCTGCTTATGTATTCTGTGATGAGATTGAGTGAACGCATGTCCTTGGCCTTAACTGGACTATTAGCACAATTTAGGAAGTCAATTTTCACAATTAGACGTACTCGTCTCGCAAGTGCCAGCCAATATTCGCAGAACGCGAGCCACCCCTTACCCTCTCGACGACCGTCGGCTGCATTCGCTATGTTTGCGAAACACGTCAACAGAGCCATTATTTTCTTGTCTTCCTCCTCATTTCCATCCATATTACGAGCGTACGATGTCGCATATTTGATGCACTGTTCCCAGAATGGCGTCAAGTCGAGTTCGTTTGAGAGCAGAAGAATTCGTAGCGCATAGAAACGTATTTTCAGAACATTTAATTGTGGGTTGGGGGGAGATGCAAACGAAGTTGTGAGCGCAATATACGCCCGTCTGAAAAGACCATCAAGCGATTTGGGAGGTACTGCCGTAAGGAATCTAACCCATGAATGCAACGAAGATGGTCCATCTAGGGCATCGCAGTACGCTTCAAAGCAATCGGCTCGTGTCGACACTGTCTGAGCACAAACGGAAAAGGCATGGGAAAAGTATGTCTGGACACATGCCTGAATTGGTGGGTCCAGAGACGAGATAGGAAGTGGGAGATGAAGAAGAGATATTGGCGCCTGGAGCGATGTTGGAGTAACCTCGTGGTCATAAAACGTTGGAAGGTGACGTTGTATCTCACTCAATATAGTGGCCGAGGTTTCGTATGCGTTGTGCGCCAGAAGCTTGCCAACCATGCTAAGCGCTGCTCGTTCGGTATCAATAAGACCTGGATTGAGATTCCTCAATATGTTCAGGGCAGCCCGTCCAGAGGCAACGGTAGATGAAACAGTTGAGCGTGATGAAATCCCTTTACCAGCCGGCAAAGATGCTAAGCTCTGCAGCACGGTGTTGACGCTCTTCATCGCCGCCACTTTACTTTCCTCCGGTGTGGAAATCGCTTTCGAACTCGTTCCTTTTCGTGCTTGCGTGCCCGAGCCCTTGTTCGGAACGTCTGAGATCTTCAGCCTCGAGCCGAGCTTTGATGCTAATCTGTCCACATCATTTGATCGACTCAAGAGGACCCTTTTCGTTCTGGTTGTTGCCATTAATTAAAGATGCTGGTGGATGAAATTCAAAGGTTGAAAGTCGGAATGGAGGAGTACGGAGAGGCGCTAGTGAACGTGACCGTGTCATCAGAGTTTACGCGTTGGTTGACTGATGACTAAGATTCTAATTATGTAATCAACTGCTTTTCCCCGAAGCCAACCCGCTGTCATCAGCCACATCATCAACTTGTAGCTACTTCTAACTACAATTCACTGCCAATCGCGAATTCACCAAGGCAACTGACTGCCTTTGTAATTGAAAAACTTCCCGGAATGCCCCTTCGTCAGCTCCTTCAAGAATTGAATGAATGGCGTCACACTTTCTGCGGGTTCGAGAACAGCTCCGTCTCCTCCTAACTCTATGGAAAGTGTTAGGCGTTACGAGACGGCTATTGCTCAATCAAATCTAGTGCAGTACTTACTCGTCTTTACCCAGCCCGGGTCCACGCAAATGGCAATGATTTCCGGATCTTCTTTTGCTTGCTTGTACGTCTTTTGCATTTTGTCGTCCGATCAATGATAAGCAATATGTACGGAGTCGGAAAGACGACACTTGCTTACGAGCATGTTCAGACCCGCTTTCGATATTGAATACGCACAGCACTTTCTCCCGCAATCTAGGCCAATACTCCCAAGTCCGCTTGTCATGTTCATCACGACCCTTCTACTCCCTCTTTTCAGGAGAGGTAGAAAACTCCTCGCCACAAGAGCAGGCGCAATCACATTATTCTGCATGGCAAATGAAAAGTCGGCCACATCAAAATCAAATGCTCCGTCGTCGCCGGGATTCTGCAATTCGGTTCGTTCCTCAGCTCAGGAAATGCATCAATAAATAAGCGCCCATAAAACAAGCACTCACGACTCCCGCGTTATTGAGGAGATAATCCAGGCCTCTGGCTCCTAGGATCGCTTTCGTCTCTTCTGCTGCATTTTATATCTCTTCTTCGACCGACACGTCTAATTTAACTATGTGTAGCTGCCCCTTTGCATTGGTCTCCTTTAGTGCAGATAAATTGCTTGCTGTTTCAGGATTCCGACATGATGCTATGACGAGATTACTGGGATCCGAAATCAATTGACGGGTGAACTCGAGACCTATTCCACGTGAAGCCCTTCAACGAATCAGCAGGTCAGCGGCACGAAGTGTCAATTCAGGAACATGTAAATGGAAATACCCAGTGATAAACCAACTAGCAGTCCAGCTCATTGTGCTCACAGGAGTGCGATAAAAGCACTGACAATAGTCGTATTAAGTGGGTTAGATATATGCTTTGTGAAAGCGCCGAACTTTCTCCTTGGATAACGTCCGGTTCGAATTTCCCATTCGTGCTTCTAGCTACGTTTGCAGTCCAAAATTAGGCTTGTCACAAGGTCCGTCATCGCCACGTCCTCGAGCCTTTTCGTGTACGCATCTGATAGCAGGTCTATCACGGGACAGCATTTGTTGAGATGAACAGGACCTTGTCCGATAGATTTGTGGTACTACCCTGCCCTCTATCAGTGTCAGTGTGGCACAGCTGCTTACGTTCAAACTTCAAAACAATGCAGGCGTTAGTTAAAAGTCGATGTGCACACTGCAATACCATGTGTTGCGTCTCAGAACAATGCTTCTAGCGTCGGGCGTGTGGCTACAGTCATGGATCCGATGCCCGTCGGTCCGACGGTTGACCGCGTCCAAAGCCGAGAGTCTCTCAATTCGTTCAATCCACATTCGTCAAAATCCACAACACGAAAATCATTTTCTGTTCCGCGGCCACGCGATGCGGGATGCCTACTTCCCGGTTCGTAGAGACTGTTGCAGTGCATTGCGGAAGCATTCGTGTAAGACGCTTGTTTGACATGGGCGCGCCTTCTGTCGGCTTATCGGCTTAGGTTACCGAGGCTTAACCTTTTTATCTGTTGTATTCGCAGATTTTAAGCTCGGTTCATCGCATCTGTCATCCAACCAACGTCAGACTCAAGACCCTGTGTATTTACCTCACCGAAACCCGAAGTCTGACCCCTGAGCAACCTATTGAAAATCAGAACACACCAATGGCACTGCATCGGTGTGTTCTTGCTCCTCGTATAGTATCCTTTCTCTTGGGCTGTTCGCACGTTTCAGCTGAACATGATGGTTTGTGGGCAATCACTGTTTTCGATCTAATAGATCAGCATTGACACTCCGGTCTTTCCGCAGATCGAGTCTATAAAGCATACATCCTGGTCAACTCCAGCACTTGTACCAACTTGGCCCCTCAGTAATTAGCCCTACTTTCCATTTACAACGAATAAGACATGGATCATAGAGCAAATGGTACAGCTCGAGAAGCGGGGCGCCTAGGCGATAATTCTCTGTACATGGTGCTCAAAGTAGCCGCCAACGGGGAGCTGCGAGAAGTGGTCTCTCAAGTACGCCCAGGCAGCAGTGCACATCTTTTCGCCGTCACCTCGCAGGATTCGCGATACGAGAATGCACATGGGGTTGGTCCCAGTGGCTCGCGTCGAAACAGCTTTCGTCATCCAAAGCCTTGTGGTGCATGCTCCGCAACGAAAAGCAGAGTAAGTTTGCGTTGATTGACGGCTGTCGTTGCACAGAGCTTACCTCTGTCTGGTAAAAGTGCACGCCGTTACCCGAGAACCCATTGCTCTGTGTTCGCTGTAAATCGAAAAATCTTCGTGAATGTCCTCCACACGTGCCGTGGCGACTGCGTAGAGCGAATGGCGAAAGGCACGATGCGAGCGGAAATCCACAAGTGAGACCCAGCGCTTCTAATCATTTCCTTTCGCAAAAGCTTACTCGCTGTCTGCTTGTTTAGACCTCGAGTATTACGCAGAGCCAATTACCGCCAATGGGGCCCGCGTTGCCCGCGGCTCCTGCTCCTGCCGTCATGCCTCATCATTCCGGACCATACTCGATACACATTGGGTCGCAGCAACATGGGCAGCATGCTGGTGGGGCAGATAGGTATCCGGCGTATCCTTACGCGCCGTTAAATCCCGAAGAGAACTTGCAGCAACAGGGCTTCTATAACATGGAATCCGGAGTCCTTGGAGCAGACTATTCGCAGACTGGACCGTGAGTACAGACAACGATGCTTCTATTATTATCAACACCTAGACCTTCTTACCGACCTTTCCATGATCAGATTACCCCAGTTGACGTTCTCTCCGGGGCCAGTTACTCAGCAGTTGTACCAGCACGATTCACATGTTCAGCCAATGAACCAATATCTGCAACCTAATGTACAATACAACAACTGGTGGTAGCAGGATCCATTTACGCCAAACGAAATTCTTGTACATGCTATAGTATCAGGATATTGAACCCTTATTCTGAACACTAGGGAAATGGACCCTGTATCATTTGTGTAAATCATACATAGAACTCTCACATTGGACAGTGGCTAGATACATGGACACGATAGAGTATTTGAATCGTACTTGCAATTGTATTATTACTATCATTCATGGAGATGTGAACACGAATACACGTCTGATAAGCCCGATCCGACAAGACTTGCCGCTTTAAAGGGAAGCCCGTTCAAATTACTCCTTAATCAACCCAGAGTCAGAAAGTTCAATGGGAGGGAGTTTTACTCGCGTATAGCTACGGGAGAAGAGAACCCTCGAAGAGTTATTCTCCCGAGAACATGGTACGGCATCATAAAAGTAATCTCGTGGCTGTCGCAGGAAGCTGCACTGGTCTGTGAACTCAAACTCATCGTGTCCATTATGGGTTCGCTTCCTACCTATGCCAGGTAACTTGAGAATTGCCCGCTTTGATAAACTCCCTGCTATTCTTAAACCTTTCTTCCAAAAAAGGAATTGAATACTTTAAAAGACTAAATTAATAAACCAATGTGCCGAAAGTGCTATGGTCTGATATAGTGTTGAATTGTTCCTGTTTCGAGAATTCTTTATGAGTGATATTTTGCTAAAATGGCTAGGAACATTCCTATACCTCCATCGGGAAAAAGTCCATTTAAATATAATGAATTACAGTCCATTTAAAGAAATATTAGCATTTTATATACATTGTAATTCATATGTAAGGGTTAGAACACAACTATAAGGATAAAATAAGGTATATTAATGTATATAAAGACTCTAAGAGTGTTATGAATCATTACAATTCATTGAATACATTATGATAACCTTACATTATAAGCTAAAGTATTATACTTAGATTATAATTTTGAAAATAGTCTTATATTTACATTGTAAAACAGATTGTGTTATCTGTATAAGGGTTTCAACTACTTATAATATTTATATTACTGTATTTAGGAGAATATATACATGCTAGAGTACTATTAGCTATATTATAAAGTAAATTTATACATTTATTTTACATCTAAATACAATAATTGATTTGTTTTACAGCTTTGCTACTATCACGAACATTGATTACATAATCGACTGCTGAAGATCGAGTGCTTATAATGACGCATTTGTCTTTGTCACTTCTTTATCTCATGCCTCCACCATCTCCTACAACTCTCTGCCACCCGTTCAACGCTAAGTTGCTGCTTTTGTTTTCTCCAGTCCAGTCCTCTGCCTGCAAGCATCCTATCAGCAGGCACTCTGCCTGCAACAACACAGACAATAAATACTGCCGTAACTCGTCTCTCCAATCTACTGTTGCAGTGCCTGTACTGAGCTCAGATCCCA